TTGTGTCAGTACTTCTGGGCAATACAACAACATGAACATCAACATGAACATCAACATGAACATCAACACCAAAGCTAGTCTCATCCTCATCCTCATCCTTGATGTCCAATAAGAATTTCATATACTCAGTTTTATCTTTCAACTCTTCATTGCTTGCAGGATTAGTCCTATCTTTCAGTCTTTTGTCATTTCTTACTCTAGAGCAGTAGTTGCTCCTTCCAAGCCCAAACCATTTGTAGTTGTGATAGTTGCTGTGACAAAACTTCCGGATGGGATCTCCATTAGAATCTCTCTTCTCTGAATTGCTTGCAGTGACACATAGAGGGACTTTGCACAGGTTGCACATACTGTAAGTATTTTCACCACACATGTAGCAGATATTTTTATTTCTTGACTTTGTAAGCCCAATTGCCTTCTGATGATTTGTGTACTCAGTCTATGTGAAGCAAAATCTTCCATTTGCCTTGTACTCTGCAATGGTCTGCAAATTGTGATATCCGAGCAACTTACAATTCTTAAGGATGATCTTGGAGGCTTTTCTTCTAGTTGCCCTATTGCTTCTGAACCTTTGTGTTGCTTTTGTACACTGCCTCAGCCTAGCATCACAGTTATATGCCTGCTCCACTGGATTGTATTTAATCATCTGCAAAGCAAGCCTCTGATGAAACTCACAATAGCTCATGGTGTTGCTTACCTTCCATTCATCACCAAGGCTTCCATCAGTGCACTCTTTGTAGATATCATAGGCAGCAGCAATTGCCAAGCAACGCCTTGGCATGATTAATCTCAGTATGGTAGTATTTCCAAGATTTGCAACCAGTGTTGGCTCTGGAGATGTATGCATTGATATGGTCCAGTTTCCCATAAGTATAAAGATAAACCTCACAAGACTCATTAATTGCAATGCCCCATTGTTGCTTGTCTGTCCCCCTTCCCCTTTCCTTCTGATGAATGTAAAGAGAGGAAGATGAAATAGAGTTCACTGATCCTAAATTGCAAGCTCCAGTGCTTGGGAATGAACAATGCACCTATCTGTAGGCTTTGGTTCCTTTGTCAGGATCAGCTGGTACAGTCTTCACAGCAGTGACAGGCTTAGCAAGACGTTACGTCTTTGCTCTCTGTTTCCCATTCAAGTCTGCTGCAGCATTCTTCATATGGAAGTACTTCCCAGGAACCTTTGCGGGTAACAAATTCTTAGCAATAGTCCCCATCATCACCAATCCTTGCTCACCCATCCAATCCAAGATGGAATTTGATAGGAAGAAATTGTCAGCTGTGATATAAGGCAAGGACTTCCACAGCTTGCCCAATCCAATGTTACCAAGAACAAAGTTCTTCTCAACAAGGTGATGAACTTCAGCAGGGCCAGTGCAGGTATGCTGGTCATTCCTAGATTCCCATCCACAGCATCTATGTTTCCACCAACTTCAGCAGGGCCAGTGCACAAATGTCTATCATCACTAGTAGATTTCCATCCACAATTGGCTCATCCTGTCCATTCTTCCAGTTTACTTCAAACCAAGCTCAGTCAATACTTTTAATTCCAGTGAAACAAACCCCTGGTCGCACTTCCATTAACACTCCTCGGAGGGAAGTGCCGCCCCTCGGAGCAGCTGGGAGCATTCTTTCTATTGAAAGCTGTGGTTCTGGCCTTATAGTGCCTCTTCTAGTTCACGAGGTTAAAAATAATATTAAGATTTTTTTTTTTTTAGATTTCCATCCACAATATTGGTGTTTTGGTGTTCTCAGGCGGATGCAATCAGCATCAGACATAACAAGGACTTTCTGTCCGCCTCTCATAATCATCTTTCTTTTGAGATACTTAACCAGTGGACCACCAAAGCCTTGGTACAGCTAACTGGTACTATCATTGATACATAGGTCCAAGCCAGCCCATTCAGTGAAACAATTTGTATTGTTGATAATAGTCTCATATATGTAGTCAAACTTGTAAGCCACATTACCACTGTTAGGGGATCCACAGTAGGTTCTATCCAAATCATTCTTGCACAGCTTCAAGTTCCTTTCAATTTCATGCCACCTGGTACAAGACATAGTGTTTGCAATCTCCTCATTGAATAAAAGATCCTTAGAATCCCACATAAACTGGATGTTTTAACTTGCTCTTTCACAAGCACCATGCATAAAAAGGATGCCATCAAAATGAACTGCTTCAGGAAGTGTAACTGGTCTGATTTGGCTCCCTTCCCCTTCATTAGCATCAGAGATGTAGACATTGGTATATCTCATCACATTGTTGTAATAAGTCAGCTTCTTCTCGGGTTAAATTTGGTAGCACTGAGCTTCTCACAAATCAGGAGCAATTGGTACTAGCAGCAACTGATAGAAAAAGAATGCGTATTTGTTTTCAATATGTTCTTTGGTGAGCCCATGTTGCTGAAGCTTGAAGACATCCAGCTTCCCCTTCCTCTCATCCACAAACATGTTGTCTCTACTAGCAAACTTCCTTGCAAACTGGTTGTTACTAGGATCTTCCACAGTACCACCCTACCCAAGGTAATGAAACTTCCACCCTTTTTCCTCCCTGACAGGTTCTTTGCCAAGACTAGCTAAGCGGTTAGGGATTTCCACAGGCTTGCACTCAGAAGGAATAAAGTGACCTTTGTTTTCCCCTTACCTGCTTCAAACTTGGGTCTGTAGTAATATATATGCCAACCACCTGGATTATTAACATCATCCCAGTCTTGAGCTTCTCCTTGGTCAACATTGGAATCCTTCCTTTCATAACCAACTGGAACCTTTGGAAAGTTGAGACAGCTATCACCAATAGTTCCATTCTTCCAATAAAAGAACTCGGTATTGTGAGGCTCAACTGCATAGTCCTGGTTCCAAGCTGTCTGGCTTGGTGTGATTAGATTAAAGAGCTATGCTTGTGCTTCCTCCTCATGACTCATTCCAGAAGCCTCAGAATCATAATTAGGCTCAGTATCATCATCAACTTCCTCATCACTTGAGTTTTCATCTTCAAACAAAGTTTCAACATCTGATTCTAACTCAAAGGCTGCTCCAAAGGCTGTCAACTGGGACTCCATGAGGGCCCTTGGCCTTGTTTCTGGTTGTCACATTGTCCTTGTTGTTGTTGTTTGTTGTGTTGTCCTTGAGAAACGTTGGTTGGTTATGTTGTTGAGTGGCATCAATGGTGGGATTGCTGATAGTATTTCTGATAGCCTTGCTGATGGTGTTGCTGATGGTGTTTCTAAGCATCCCTACTAGTGATGGTGAGCATGGCTGCTGCAGATGGGTCTTGTCAATTTGTTGTCATTGATTTCATTGCTGTTGTCCTTAGTACTAGCTGGCGTCAATAGCTTGCTGATTTGTGTTGCTGATAATGGTGTGGATATCAGTGCTGCTTGAGATATACTGTTGCTGGAGATAGTATACTGCTGAGCATTGCTGATTGTGCTGCTGAATGTCCCTGGTATCTCTTTGGTCCATTGTTCTTGACAGCATCAACAGCGTTGATAGTTGTCCTGGTTGTTGTCCTTGGTAGCTGGCATTGATAGCTTGCTGGTTAGCATTGCTGATACTGTTGCTGGAGATGATCTGTTGATGAATAGTTTTGCTGATGAGTGTTTTGGATGATGCTGATAGTGTCAATGGGGGGTGGGGCAAGTAGATGTTGGTTGTCAGAACCAGAAGCGCTTTCACTGGGATAATGGTAGCTTCAGCAAATGGTTGTGAGGACTCCTCTGTGTCCAACAATTGACAAAGAGTTGCCTTGCTGCTATCAGCATCATGAAGGAGCAGTATTTGCAATTGGATGTTATTTTAGGTCAATATGCTCATCAGAAATTTATTTCCAGCATGTCAATTGACATCATGACAAAAATTCCATAGAAAAATGGTGCTGTTGGACAAGATTTTGTGATGTCAGTAGGCATGCTTGACATATTTTGCATGGGAAAAAGATAGCCTGTACTCTACAGCTGAACCTTAGATCTGCTAGCCAAGCCTATACAATACACCTGTTGTGTTTTGAATACCATTCACAAACATCTACTTGATCTGCTTGTTTTATTCTTCCTTCACAGTTGATTTTAGTTCAAAACCAGGAGGCAGTGGATAACCATCAGCATTACTACCAGCAACCAGTATAATTCTTGAGCTGCTCCTGTTCATAAAATCTGCACAACAAACAATTGCTTTATCTGCAGATCCATACACAGTAGATGGCTGCCCCTCTGTCTGACTCCCTTTGTTATCAAACATAACATTGGATTTGTCCAAATTAATGATTTGGTTGAGTTATCCAGGGAAGAAAACAAGCTCTCCTTCAACAAGTTCCTCTGCATATTTGATTCTTGCAAATCGTTCAGAAACAAGCTTGTCTTTCAGTACAGTGAACCAAGTATTAATGTTGTTAAACATAGTCCACTGGAGATGTTCTTCTTCTACCTCCTTAGTATTCCCTTTTGTTACAGTAAGAAGATGCACAAAACAAAACCTGCAGGAGTCTTAAGTACAGAGCATCAAATTCATTAGCCAAGAAAAGGCCAGGTAGCAAACACTGCTTCAGTATTGAAATTATTCCCTTCCTCCAAGGAATCTGCTGTTTTTCTTTGCATGCAAGAGTGACAAAGGAAGACATGCTGTTAAACAATACCTGCACAATAGGCTCAGGAGACATGCTCATCCTACTACATCCCAAAGACTGCTGTCCAAGATACAACCATGAGGTATTGCTTCAGCCTTCAATAATGTTTTGTACAGGAGAGAATTCAGTTGCCCCACAATACTAGCAAGCAGGCTAGTAAAGAATTCAACAAGCCAGAAGATGAGGTTCCCTGGCAAAAAACAGCAATGTACGCATCTCTGGGTAGAGGAAGAAGAAAAAAGAAAAACTCTTTCTGATTAATGGATTCTCTAATTCTTATTGGTCCTTTGTTGGCAAATAGAAAGGATACAATAGCTCCAGTTATTAAAAAGCGGCCCATATTAATTATACTCATAATTATTATACTCATAACCTTTTCTAATTTGATAGGACTTAATAGTAGTGACTAACAGCAGTAAAAATAAAAAATACAGTACGAGTACTAGTACTACAGTAGCTTGTAGTCCCCTGCCGTTACTCCGTACCCGTACTTCTACCATACCGTATGATAGATGGAAACTGCTCTCCTGAAACGATCCGCTTCACTTCCTTGCAGGAAACTCCATTATCACTCCGCTCAAACTTTTTCTGAAGCAAACTTGAAACTCGTTCAATAGAGTATGAGTGCATTACCACCAGCGAAACTCAAGGCTTACCTTTCGGATGTGAAGGAACGTTTCCTCGACGATTCTTCACCACCCAAAAGTCTGGGTGATTCCTTTTTTGGCGTTTTGAAGATGGAATTGCTACTGAGGGGGGTATTGGTCGCCGATGAGAAAAAGATTTGGAGTCAGGTACAATCATCTGTGGGTAAAAGCACTCTGGTAGAGCAACCAGCGTCAAAAATTCCAAAGGCATTGTTAGCTGGAGCGAACGTCATAGCAGGACGTGTGGTAGAAGTATTTTACAAAAAGCTTACGACGTCCGTATTACCCTCTGTTGCCCGAGATGCTGATGGAAGCAGAAATTGCGATTTTCTAAATGATATTGTTACCAACGCGGAAACCGAGGGTGCTCGCCAACGCGCGGAGGATGTCCAAGACGACCGATGGCTCTTTCTTCTGCTGCGACAAACGACACCATCGTCGTCGTCGAGGCCACCGCCACACTCCAGTAACGTCATATGTGTTGATGACTATGTGAGTGGGTTGTTGCAAATCGCTTTGGGATATTACACAACAGCAGCTTTAATCCAATCTGATACTCCGCCCATGTGGAAGAAGATATGGGATGTTTGGGTCAACTTAGCCAAAGGTGCTTCGTTGCCTAACAGCTACAATGCGAACGGAGCTGATGATCAGCCTCCGCACGAAGCTCAAATTGCGATCGAAAACCTAATTCGTATCGCTCTCTTAAAAAACAATATAAGACGGGCGTCAGAGCTTCAATTGCGCCTTGTACAGAGTTACTTGAATCCCAACCGAATAGTACTCGTTGAGACCTCATTTTTATCTTCAAAAAAGCGGGAGAAAACTTATATTCCAACTACAATTGCGGAGTGTTTCGGAGATTCTGTGACAAAAGAGTTACCATTGAACAAAGATAAAGTAACCGAGAAGCTTATGCTGGCAGAAAAAGCCCGGTCGACCTTACAAATTTCCCGGTTATATTACGAAGAAGAGATGAGAAAGCTCAAAGGGGATCACAATTCGGCAAAGATGAGTTCTGACTTGATGCTCTATCAAGTACTTTGTGTTGAAACTGTGTTGGCAGAGGACGACGCAAAGGTACAACAGGAAGCGAACGAGATGTATAGGCGATCCACTACCGGAATCAGTCTTGCTGATTGTGTTGAGATATGTCGAACATCAATGGAAATATCGTCGTGTAACAGCAGTGGAAAGTCGGGTTTTGAACAAGCTACGATTTTACGAGATATGACGATCACCGCGTGGAACTCGGCCGCAGCGTCAATAGATTCAGAAACCGAACTGGATTTTCTCACCTCTTTGGGCAATATTCAAAGCGTGCATCTCTGTTTTCATTGGGTCAATCAATCCATTCTTCGATTGAAAAACAGGGCAGAAATCATTAGTCGGAAGAAATCCCATTATTTTGAACCATGGAATGAGCTCCTCGAGTTCATTCTTCCCATTTTGAAAGAAGTTGAGTGTCAAATAACAAAGTTTACATCAATGTTGTCAGTCAAGGATGATATACAACAGCGCATGCCAGTCATAATGATGTGGTTGAATCAAAGTTTGGGCGAGAACAGCGCTGAATACAACGATTGGAGCCGATGTGCATTATTGAAACTAATTGATGTTGTATTTTCATTATTGCCAAACGTACTCTGGATGCTGTCTGGAGATGAAAGTAGAACCATTCCTCATCTTGACCAGGAGATGAAACTAGCGGCTGATGTACTATCGGGGCTAATGCTATGGGAAGAAAGGGCCGAGTTGCAACGACAACGAAGCGAAAAAGAAGCACCGACACTAGGATCCAAACAGAGTCAGGGAGCATCAAGGAAATCGGAATGGCAACATGCAAAAGTATCTGCTATGTGTTTCATTTGTCAAGGCAGCCCTTCTGATATTTATCAAATTACAAATGATTCAATTTCCAGTAGTAAAAAGAAAAAAACAGGGGGGTTTCTATCTTTTTTACGATGTATGGTGGCCTGGTCGGGTTGGTTCCAAAATCCATGGCCGTACTGTACAAATTTGGGGGATGCTAGGCGTTTGGTAGCTAATGCAGAGCTGGATCTTGGTCGAGATTTAACAACCTTGGAAGAAATACTTCTGCAAATTGCAAAAGCTGATGCAGAGTTATTAAATGGAGGCTTCATACAAGAGGCCAACGAACTATATATCAGTGTATTGGCCAAACTTCAATGTAACGAGTGTTCGATCGATAAAAATTCTACGTTGCTGCTACAAGCTCATTGTTGCAATGGATTGACACGTATTCAACACGCTGATCAACAGTACACCGATCCCAATGATGCTAACGTGTCGTACACCACGAATAGCCTTAATATCCTTGAGAATTTGGATTTGCCCCCCGAAATCCCACCTCTTTCTATATGGAACATGCGATCAATTTTTTCAGCGTCAAAAGTTCATGAACTTAGTGTCACTCGCCAACTAATTGCTGACTCACTTATTCATTTTGGTCGTTTCGAAGAGGCGCAATTCTTCCTGCAGAAAGCAGTTGCTGACTCGCCGTCCGATCCTAACGCGGCTCTAGCTTTGGGGGCTTTCCTGTTACGTCTTACTATTTACATCCACAAGGAAAGGAACACGGACAAAGAAAAAGAAGCGCAGATTCAATTACTCAAGGCAGCAAAATTGGATCCATCGAAGTCAAACCCTTTCGCTCTTCTGGGTGTATGGTACGAGGAAAACCGGGATTTGAAGAGAGCGCTTAAATGTTTCGCGAAGAGCCTCACATTAGACGCATGCAACCCGATCGCAGGACGAGGTATGATGCGTTTGTCCCGCGACGGAGCCAATCGTGATGTTTTCGACTTGGCGATCAATAGGAGCTCACCCCTGAATGGTTGGGCATGGCGCGCAGTCGGTCTGAGGAAAGCCTACAATGATGGGGATGACGCGTTAGCCGTTGTTGCAATACTGAAAGCATTACGCTGCCGGGATATTGCTCTCCCTGAGAAGGAAAGCCTAGGCTTGTTCTACAATACTCCGTCTTCAGTCATGGCTAACGAAAAATCCATTGCACTCGCCGAAGTTGGGATGTGCTACCGAAGACTAGGTCGTATGACAGCTTCCGTCCGAGCTTTTCGCGCTTCGATCGAAGCTGCTGGAGTTAATTCTACACAATCTACTACGCTCATATCATGTGCACAGGTTGAACAAGAATTGGGTTTATTTGACGAAGCGGCCGAAAAGTTTGCAATAGTAATTGATCGGGAAGAAACCCATGGCCGATCGGTTGCATTATATGGCCACGCAGTGGCATTATTCTCAATAGCAGAGAGAGATCTAACGGATGGAAAGGCTGGTGTAGCATTCGCTCGTTTACAGCTCGCGATTGACAACTGTCAGAGATCTTCAATCCTTTCTGGATGTGAATTGAAACTTCTTGGAGATTTGTATTCCTTTGGGGCATTGTTTCCGACTGACATATTTTGTGATGAAAAAACTCAGAATCACGACTTGAACCTTTGTGTAATAAATCAGCTTGAATTTATCTCCAAAGGGGAGGATGCATTCCGATCATCTCTCATCACACGAAGTGATTGCTCCGATACTGATGATGAAGGTATTGCTATTAAGAGCTCGATCTTATGTGATATCGCGTCAAATATACTTTTGCAGTGTCAGTTGCTATCCTCACAAGGAAATGATATCAAAAAGGTTAGCGACACGTACAATCTTGCGGAAGAAGCCTTTCGTCACGCTATCGAGTTCAACCCGATCCACGCAGCCTCCTGGTGTGGTCTAGGCTGCTCTGTCCTGAAGACTGATCCTCTTTTGGCTCAGCATGCGTTCAGTCGCTGTGTTCAAATAGAAAATACTTTTCCGGATGCTTATGCCAATGTCGGTTTTCTCTATACTTCGAAGCTTGCATTTCATGCATCGCGGAGCACAATGGAAGCGTTGACACAAGTTGCTGATACTCCAATGATGTGGATGAACTGTGCACTCATACTAGAGAGGGAGGCAGAAAGAAGTCTCAAGGGAGATCATGTTGGTAGACCAGAAGATTTTATCAGTCAGGCAGCTGATGCTTATCGGGCCTCCTTGCAGGTGATGCGGAATCCCGAGGCTCAACTGGGCCTATCTCTAACTAGTCGAGTGCTTCTTTCACACAACGAGACGAATGACGACAATGCGTCGTCTAGTGTCTTTGCCCTGAAAAGAAAAGATAGTTACTCTTTCATGAAAGAATATGTTGCTGCATCTTCTCATGACACTGTTATATCGTCGATTTTCCAATGCGTGATGTCAATGGAGAAAGGTATAATGGGGCCTCCACATGCAATGTGGCAAAGTCAGATCTATACGGAGGGAAAAGAAAAAATTAGACTAGTTCAAACAAGTCAAAGTGTTGTCGGAAAGTCATTTAGTGATCCTTTGAGCCAGAGGCTTGCAGCCTCCGCTAAAAATTTGACCGAAAATGAAAAAAAAAAGAAAGAGACCCTGCCGCTGCCTGCGACGGAAAATCTTCAAAGAGAAATGTTGCTTCATCCGGATCGCGCTGATCTTTGGCTGTCGTTGGCCAAGTTATTCATTGAGAATGATGCCATTGAATCAGCTAGAACAGCTGCTTCTAGAGCAGTGGACATTTTGTCGCTTGAACTAATGGCATCCTCTCAAAGTCTCGGGAAGAATCTGCAACATGTAGATGCGAATATGATTTCAGAAGCCTTATCCTTGCGATGTTGGCTTCATGAAACACAGAAGAAGGCCGTGGCATCGTGCGACATGCAGCTCGCTCTATTGATGGACCCTACTAACTTAGTGGCACGACGAGGCCTTTTGCTAGAAGCAAAAGCTGGGAGTACTTGTAGTCAATGAATAGATCTAACTCGTCTTATCTACTATTTCAGCCCTCGGAAATGGCAGGATGAATTACACGACTTGGTTATCCCCCGCTTGATGTAAGCGTCTTGCATCTTGTGTGGCTGTCAACGAAATGTACGAAGTGTGACACCACGAGTGTAGCGTCATATTTTTGTTGTCGTTACTATTGCGCTTAACGGTTCTGAGATTCTTGATCTGTATTTCCACTGAGGCCCCCACGGGTGTTTCGGCTCGCAGTTGTTCGGTGTGACCTCGATCTTCGCATTGGCCTTAAATCTGATTCAAAATTATGTGGAACAGGAATGTTCCTGGCGGTGGGGACAGGACATTCAAAACGCCTGAAACCTGACTTTTTTGCGTTTCTTCTCGTTGGCTCCGGTTCGACAAATGGTGGGCTAGGCCAAAGTTTACCTTCGTGAGATTTCTCTGAACAAAGAACCTTCCGTACATGATCTTCTGCTTCACTGATACAATTCCTTATTTTCTTTGATGCGTAGTCATTGACCGGCGAACCTAGGTCGTGTGGGCAGTGGGAGTCGTATGTCTCAAAAGGGTCCTCGATAGAAAAGAAAAGGTTTGCTTTTCTAGCTGCAAGTTTTGGTAGACTCACACTGGCCCTCTTAATTGACACGGCGTAGATACCAAAAGGGAAGCGTGAGCTATAGAACTCGAAAAAACCATATAGCAAAAGACTTAATGGTAACTTTTCGAATTCACGAGGTGGAGTCCATAATTCGGCACTTCGTACTGTTTCCCACTCTAAAGTGCAGGTATCCAAATTGTCAATAAAATGCCAGTAGTTTCGTGCTGGATCAGGCACAATACCTGCAGCTTTCATCAAGGCATGCGACTGCAGGTTAGGGAGAAAGCCAATGCATTGGAGATAGAAAACGACAAGGTTCATCCACGCGTAAGAACTTAAACATTTATCTTTTGCTGAATTTATCTTGTGTTCTTTTGCCCACTGCTTCACGGCTATCATCAATTGCCTGACTCTTGGATCTACCAAAGAATAGTCACGGAGGAGACTTGAATTTGCCACAGCTATATCATTTAGGAAGCAAATATCAAAGCTTCAGAAACATTCGTGTAGAGGAACGTAGTAGGTGAGACATTTGCAGAAATACAAGGGAAAGCAAAGAATCGCCAAAGGCATCTCGTGACTCACTTTATTGATCCATCTTCAGTGAATGGATTATGAGCGTAGATGTAGGTTCCAGTAATGACTGGAATCCTGGCTTTAGTAATTGGAGTCATGCTTCTGAATTCAGCTTTCAGGTTGTTCAACTTGCGAAAGACTTTGTAAACTAGATTCTTTATGGATTGTTCATACTGCCTGGCATGAACGCTCCCGTCTTGAAAACCCCTTTTCAACTTATCAGCTTCAGGTATCMACAACGACATGTCAACATCAGATCCTTTACCGATGGAAAGATTTGATAGGCAACTCCCATAGATACTCAACTGTGAATGACAGCACGAAAACATAGTTAGATGCCAATAATATATTGGAATCGCATCAATAAACAAATTAGGCTCATACTCACTCTAGCCCCTGGAAACCTTGACGTTAGCACATTCGATAAACGATGGTGGATTCTCTTCACCACTTTTCGATATTGCTCATATATCTCATCAGAAGCAAGCTGATCTTGCCCATTAATTATGGCATCACAATGAGCTGCGGTAACCTGAAAATCTTCTTCACTAAACCCAGTTTTGGCTGCAAGGACCTCAATCGGTGACAAAATATTCGGTGTGTTGCGTTTTGTTACATGCTCTAACCATAGTTTTGGCCAGAACAATGGCGCCCCTTTTGGATCTTTTGAAAGTTGAACAGCTCTCTCAATGCCAATGAATGCTTCCAAAATCCACTTCACGTTTTCTTGAGCTGCGATGCTTTGTTTGCTTGTAGACGATCCAAATGACTTTGTGCCGAGTAACCAGCACATAGGTCCGTTCCGTCTTGTTTTGTATCGGGTTTTCCCTATCACTAATTTCTTGTCGTTCCGTCTGGGATGATTAAGAATTGGTAGCAAATGAGGAAACAGAGCACGAATTGAATTCAATGTTCTCGCTAATGTCAACGCAATAGATTCTTCCTCGTGTCCTTTGCTTTCTACGCTATAACAGATCGAATTGCGAGAGAGGCGTTTTTCATTTCTTGGTATCTCTTCCTTGGTAACACTCTCAGGGTGTTTCCCTGGGTTGAGTTGGAGAAGGCGACGCTGCTGGTATTGTAATGCTCTTACTCTTACACTTTCCTCTAACGAATCATCTGATCGACCCCCATCAGTTCGATGTCGGAAGGTGCGTATATCCTGCAAAGCCAATTGAATCTGGTTCGATAGATTTTCTATCCGCTCCAATTTTTGATAGCTTTGATATTTTGAAGGAATCGCTGTTTGTTTCGTTCCCAAGGTCGTTTCCCCATTTTGGCTTTTCTCCTCCGTCTTCGGTATCGGGACGATTACATTATCGTTGCCAGACGAGACTTCACTCTCATGCACTATTTTGCTCCGAGATTCATTGTATGCCCCCTCTTCTCTATACCCAGAATGCAAGAATATCTCGTTCATATCAAGTAAAGGATACAGTGATCGAAGCAAAACGGTCGTCGTGTGAAGTAAAACCGGTTGTTCTTCGTCCAGTAAATATCCTCTCGGTTCCTTCATCAACAAAAATCCATTTGCGGAGACCTCGAATTCATCTTCCAGCCAAAAGGAGTGGGTCATGGTAAGAGCATCAAATAGATGTAGAAGTATATCCCAATTACATCCAGACCGATGATATTTAATAATGAAGTTTGATGTCCATCCATCAAGCAAGGCTTCTTGACGCGTAGCAATGCGATGCACGCGACGACCAAAGTGAACAGGCTGTTCGCCGAGTGTTTGCACCGGCTGATGACGTAATGAAAATCTATTGTAATTCACTATTCAAGACCTATGGTTATGTTATTTTTTATGAGTGATGTTGGAACGTTGGAAGATAGAGCACCGCCATCGTCGGTTTCGATCGAAACAGGAATAAGTTTTTTGGGGCCTAAGTACGGTTGCAAACCGTAATCGACCAGTTGCTGGATTTTAGCATGTAATCACGCGCGCTGGATTACAAAAAGAATACATGTAATCTCACGCTAACAAACACTAGTTAATTTTCTACTTAAATCTCACACCTAGATGGATTACAAACCTGCAAAATGGATTACATCTAATCAAAAATTGAATTCAGTGCTCTCATGAGAAAGAGCCTTATTTTTTTCCACAGTAGTGCTAGTTGTTTGGCTGAATCGGATTACAACTCCGAAAACAAAATTTTCTCCTAGTACTAGGATTACAGTAGAAATCAAAGTTTCCTCCGTATCAGCAACTCCTATCGGCAACTTGTATCAGCAACTTGTATCAGCAACTCGTATCAGCAACTCGTATCAGCAACTCGTATCAGCAACTTGTATCAGCAACTTGTATCAGCAACTTGTATCAGCAACTTGTATCAGCAGCTCCTTGTTCTTCTTGTTCTTTCTTAGGTATCGTTGTGATTACATGCTGAAAATCCAGCCAACTGGTCGATTACGCTGAAAATCCAGCCAACTGGTCAATTACATAAATAATCAGCCACCTGCTGGCTGCGTACGACAGCAATCAGCACTGAGACTAACGCCAAAATTATTAGAAGTACTACTAGTAAAATTGTGGTTAATTTTGAAGCCCATTTTTCTTTTGATTACCAGATCCTACATAGATCTACTAGTATTTGGTCACTCTGTTGACCCCAAAAAGGTTCAATAAGCTAACCACAACAGCTCTGGAAAGGCCTCTAGTAATGTCCTCTCCTTTGGGGATATGCTTGGTCATAGTAGTGTTAGTAAGAAGATTGCTGTGTGTAGTAATTGTTGTTTTTACACTCACAATTACTAGAGCCCAGGGGTGAGCCAGTTCTCCATTATCAGCTGGTGAGGTCAAAAATGCCCACTGGAGACCACTTGCTGGTCAGGAAATAGGCCAGAACTCTATCAAAAAAGAACTCCAGTAGACCACAAGATATAGCACCCAGTCCAAGTTGTTGATATAATTACTTAAAGATCCATGTCATTGTTGGGAAGCCAACAAATGATGCTCTAGTGGCTTATAACTGGTCAGCCAAAGTTACAGCAGTGAGCAGCCAGAAATCATTAATTCTAGGTGTAATTTATTGCAAATGAACTGGTACCACACAGGTGAGGTACAGCAGGGGTCATAATTTGTTAGAGGGGGGCGCGTCGCATCAAAAACTCATATTCCATGTGTGTCTGAAATTGGAAAATGTCACCCCAGGATTTTTAACAGCTTCATTTTTACTTCATATCACTGCTAAAAGTGCACCTGAAAGACCCCCCACACCAGAACACTTCCAATCACTAATCACTCTCTGATTTTCAAACTTCACATGCACATCTCTCATATAGTTCGGAGTCAAGTAGTAAGTGTTTCTTGGATTTTAATCCTCTCTGTAGTAGTTTGAGATTTGCTGTGATGAAACAGTGCTGGTAGTACTACTAGGCTAGTACAGTAATTCTACTAGAAATAGTCTGTCCTCCATCCAATTTTGTGAAAACAGTCCATTCCCTAACAAAAATTTGAACAGTCTATCCTTCATCTGTTTTGCTTACTACTTTTCCAATAGTAGCTCTACTAGTACTAATTTGGTCATGTAATAACAAAAGAATGGTAGCACTAAAATCAATTTCATATCCGAGAAAATTATATTCAAAATCCTCATTAAAAACTGATATAGACAGGCTAGTAAAAATGTATTATCAATATTTTTGAAGTTGTTACTACTTTAAAGAAGTTGAACAGTTTTTCTAGTATTATTCAGTACTAGTAAAAATGAAGTTGTCAAAAAATCCTGGGGTGACAAGTTCCAATTTTGGACACACATGGAATAATGAAATTCTGATCCTGCACAAGAAAAAACTGTTTCGCACCCCTCTAAATTATGACCCCTGAGGTACAGTACAGTATGTTGGGAGAATGGGGCCTTTTTACCTTTTTGGTAACGTACCTTTGTTATGTAGGCAGTATATGTTCTAGTCATGAGACAGACCACCATAGGTTCTTGCCAAAACTGAGATTTGACTAATAGGACTTAGATCTACATTTAAAGGGTAATAGTCTTGTCTTAAAGGAATAGCCAGTTTCAAGTATGTGCCAACAGAGGACATCCATGATGTTGAAAGGAGCAGTGTCCATGTTGTTAGCAGCCGGCTGATGTCCTCAGGGTTGCAGCATGCAACATAAAGGAGGTTGGCAGGAGCATAGTACATTGCCATGTTGGTATCATGGAGGCTGCTGTGGTAGAAAGGGAGGTTGGAACAGGTGTCAGCCTGGAGCTCCATGAAGATGGGATTGACCATGGGGTCTGCAGTGGCAGGGTCTAAGAGCTGACGCCAGACAAACTGTTTGGGGATGAGGATCTGGGTGACAGTGACATGAGGCAGGAGCAGGTAGCATTGGTAGTCTTTGGGGAGCTGGCCCACTAGCGCTGCTGCAACAGGGGATAGTAGTGGTCAAACAGGAACAGGGCCACCCCTGTAATGCAGTAACTTAAAGAGAAGACATTGCTTGGGCAGCCAAGGCACCAGATAGCCATGGCAAGGCACCAGCAAATCAAGTGAGTGTGTTGATGAAAACAAAGTAGGGGGCAGCACAGGGTGCTTAAGTACCTGTCATGGAGTTAATCAGAAAGGTGCTGTCAGCTGAGGCCAGGCAAAGGTTATGGATAGCCATGCAGGGGCATTGGGCTTGTCAACTAAGGCTGCTGCAATGGGAACTGTGGGTTTGCCCTTGAGGTTGTTGGGGGTTGGTGTTGGCATCCAGCGTCAGAGAAGTCCTTGTCAGAGGAGTCAATTGGTGGGTTGCTGTTGTTGGCATCCATATCAATGACAAAGTTGGGTTCATTGACCTCCAAGAGGTCAGAATATTTGGTGTCAAGGGAGGCATTCTCCATGGCCTGGTCATCCAGAAGAGCTGCTCCTACTGGCAGTGGGACCAGGGCTTGGGCTGCACGACCTGCAGCATGGGGTGGGGCAGTGACTCTGAGTACTGCACCCCTGGCTGCAGCAGTGGGGGCTAAGGCAGCAGCAGGATCAGGCAGAGTGGCTGCAGCTGGAGGGGCAGCCACTGGTTCCCCAGTTTTAAGTGCTATGGCAGGGACTTGCAATGCACATGCATGGGTAGTATGGCTGGAAATAGGTTGAGGAAGGCTGGGCAGTGGTGGGTCTGTGGGTATTTGTTTGTGTAGTCCAGCTGGTCATGAGGTGGGTGACACAGTGTTTTCTGCAATTTTGCAATTTTTCTGGGAGCGGCTGCGGCTACAGGGTAGCATTGTTGGTTGTTTTATGTGTTTTTTGTTGTGGACAGTGTGAATGCGTGTTAATTCTGCATGGTGTGAGTGCTGTTAGGAAGCAAAATACAGTTGGGACGTTTCAATGGATGTACAGTGGGAGTGATGCTTGGGGGCCCAGTTGGAGTGTTGGAGTGTTTTTGTTGCTGTGCATTTTTTGCAATGGTTTGTTGCATATTCAATGAATTCCTTTGGTGTTGGTCTACATAGTGTCGTGATTTGATGGGTCTGAGGTGAGGGAGTTTGAATCTTACTTTGTAGTACTCTGTTACCTTGAGCCTCATCACACTACTATGGTACCTTGTTGCTGAAATACTTCAACAAGAATGGGTACAAGGCTTGTTAGTTTGGTGAGCAAGAAGTTCAATAGTTGTGGTTCTTTGTCTTGCCTCTGTCTGTTGCTTCCAACACTATCATAAAATTGTTCCAAACATCTTTAAGCCCCAGCTGCTGTGGAGTGTTTCTAGGTTGTACTTGTAGTTCTTCATTGGGTGATTCCTGTTGATATATATGTGCTAGATTTGATAAACCAAAGGACCAAAAATTTAATTACAAGCTGTTATAGATTTAAAACATTTGAATGGGCCTTAGACCCCCATTCAAAATGTGCTAGATCTTTAACAGAACTCACAAATCAAAATTTGGAGTCCGTTCTTGTAAGATTCAACAGAAAGTGCACCAGAATCTAAGACAGAACACAACAAAATTTAAGACTTGGTCACCTAAACAAACAGAACAATGAGAGACATCTCTATTATCCATTGTGCCACATAAAACATAGAATGTCATGAACAGTGCTCTTAGTCAGTTCATTCTATTTCCTCTCTTTGTTGCATCAAAGAGAGCAACAGGAGGTGGAAAAAGAGGCAGATCCTTCCTGATCCCAAGTACTATATTTCTCAAGAGGATGGATAAAACTGCTGGCAACAGTGCTGGCTGCAAGGCTGGTACTACAAACTACACTGAGAGCATCATGGGATTGATATTGGAGATCCTCCCCATTGATGTACATGAGTGGGGCTTTGGTAGTCAGCAAGCATGCAGTAAGGTGGCCCTCTTTCAGAAGTAAGAATTCAATCAGGACCAAACACAACCATGTAAAAAGAAGGAAGAGTTCCACTGAAAATCCAACTATGCAGAGTGCATGATGCTTGCAAGGAATGCCCAGCTCTTGATTGGTCAGAAGGGAAGTATTGGTATTGGAGAAGAGAACTTTGATCTGGAGAAGGCCCCCTTCACTAAGATTGAGTCTGTGAAGGTTTTGGAGGCACTGACTGGTCCAGAGGCCACAGCACCAACATCTTGTCTGGGAGGAGCAACAGTGACAGATTCAACGTTGGCATTGGCACCATCCATCTATCAGCTTGTAGAATTGACTCCTTCAAAGAAGAAATCATATCTTCATGGTGGTGTTAAGAAGGGATCCAGCAGTGTTCCTGATGCTACTGTGTCCAATTATTATCTGAAGAACCAGCAATAGAGTGAAGCAGAGACTGATTAGATGTAGAAGGAGGTCATTGGAATGGCAATGACAATGTTCAACCAGCGACATGAGGGCAACAACACTTCCAATGCATCTTCTTACCATCACAATACAAGCAACAATCGACAAGGTACCAGGGAGGAATCCTATGGTTAAGAAGGAACTGATGTTCTTTACAAGTTGTTACAATAAGTCCAGATAAAATTCATAAAAACCATTGATAGCTTGCAATATAAAAATAATGAGACAAAGAACTTTAGCTACCAATCCCATATGTGAAAGTAGTACACTGGGTTGTTTTAATTCCTCTGCCATTGTGATTCCTTTATGGGAGTTGTTATCACAGAACACAGACCAACTCTCTAACACAAAGTAATGCTACAAAGATATACTGTAATGAAGATAAGTCTACACTGCACTAAAACAGTGCAATGTGACACCTTTCTTCATACTGTAATGAAGACAAGTGAATGATGGAATGTATGTGGATGCCAATCAATGACTGAAGCAACAGCCATTGCATGCATAATGAGTACTTCCTGTCCTCTCTTGCTACTTGAGGCACAATTGCAGTGACAGGGCACCCTTTCTACTGTGGTAGGTGCGTAGGTTCTGTCAAGACCAAAAAGCCTGGGCTCTTCTCTACTACTACTTTTGAAGCTTTGTTAGCTGCTTTAAGGAGTAGCAATGGTGGTCTCAGTGACTTGCTTAGCTCCCAGGCGCACCTCTTGTTGCTGCTGCTAGCTAGACTACTAGTTGCAGCAGCTGGTGCTCCCAGTCACTCACTTTGCTCMTTACTATGGGTACATTGCATGTTTGGGTTCAGTCTAGGCTTTGTGGGACTCGATGTATTGACTTTTTGCCTGTATGCCAACAGACTCTACAAAATTCCAAGTGCCTGGGCAGGGATCCTACCTTCAGACACAAAGACAAGCACACTGTTTACAAATATATTTTCCTTTCTGCTGTTGTAGAATGATCTCTGTTTGGACCAGTCTTCACAAGTAACACTCTTTGGTCAATCAGCTACAGCCAAAATGTGTTGTTCCCCAAGCTATGGGCACTTATTTTGATTAGCTTCAACATGACCATCCACTTCTTCCTTCTTCTTTAGAATGCTGACCATGGCAAGTGGATGTTTATGATGTACAAAAAGGAGGAGAATCTTCCATGAAAACTTAATCAATTTGTACATTGCTGTGGATTTCAATCCAAATGCCATGGCCATTGCTCTAGCAAAAGATCCTCTTGTCCTGAACCAATAAAACACACACCATACTTCCAAGAGCATAAATTGGGGCAGCCTCTCTTCCCTTTCCCTTGGGCTTTCTACTGGTGCAGCAAGGAAGAGCTACAATTTCATTGTCCTTGTCAATGGTGTACAAAGTACTTGTGAAAAACTGGAGCAACAAAGTGAAGGAGATCCCTGAAGACCTTGTGGTCTACACCACCGCAGTGGTTGAGGATTGCTTGATTAAATCCTGAGTGGAAGAGATGGTGTAAAGAGGATTGAGCATATCTACAGATTGCAAGTTGCTGTATTCTTGTGTCCAGTCTCCATGAGCTCCATGACACCCATAGTTGTAGTCTTCTTTGCTAGAAAGAAACTGTGTTCTAATCGTGAAAGGAACACATTAACTTTGATACTACTGTGAGTACCAGAGATTTGTGTGTTCCTAATACTACTACTAGTAGTAGTACTACTATCAAAAGATTGTTTGTTTTCCTAGTACACACCTCATTTTGATCCTTGCATTGAACTAGTATGTAAGAGTCGCAATTCCCAAAAGACAGGAACTAAGCAAGTATTCCCTGCAGTCTGTCCTTTGAGAATTGATTCCTGTTAATAAAAATGTAATAAATGTGCTAAACTTGTTGTTTATTACATTTGTAATAACAGAAATAACCCATCGTGAAATAATGAAAAACTACTATAGTAGACCTAGTAGTATTGAGTTTCGTGTGACCCATGTATTGTAACAAGAAGCAGTACTTGGAAAGTGCTGCTATCACTACTACTAGTAGTGACTACTATGTGACGTAATAATACTTAGGGAACTACTACTAGCAGTAGCACTAGTAGTAGTACTGGTGGTATTCTAAGAAGGTGTGCCAAAATTACTACTAGGCAGCAGCACCACAAGAGTAGTAGTAGTAGTAGTAGTAGTAGTAGTGGTAGTAGCAGTACTAGTATTAGTAGAAAAAAAAGAGAAAAAATATGTCAGGATCACCAGTGGTGGTGGTGGACAACGAGGAGGAGGACAAGAAGATCAGGAAGATCACMAGTGGTGGCAGAGGACAAGGAGGATGACAAGAAGAACAAATATTACAACAAGATGTGTATCATTTTGTAATATGTGTCATATTGTCATAATGGTAGTACCAGTAGTACCACTACTACTACTACTACTACTACTACTACTACTACTACTACTACTACTACTACTACTACTACTAGTAGTAGTAGTACATCACACAGTAGTAGTAGTATTAGGTGTTGTATTATTATAGCTAGTGCAAGAAGTACTACTACAGGAAGACCATTAGTATTTGCACTTTACTAGTAGAAATTATTGGAGGGGGTATTTCAATCATTTTTTTACCAGAAGGCTTGAACATGGTGGTAGTACTTCCAAACTCCCATAAAGTGACTACAAGTTGTCTAGAATTGCTAATAAGCACAACACAAATATTGTACTTTGACTACTAGTACCACCTGCATTATACTGAAAGAAGGTAGTATCTGTTTCAGCTACCACCAGCACAGTGATGGGAGAAGTAGGAGGCTTCTTTGTTACCAAAAGTAATACTACTAACACATTGTTTTAATCATAATAATTTGATGTGAAAATGATCAAGATTGTTGCCTAGAACGCACGGAAAGTATACCTTTTTTAATTAGGTGCATACAAGTCCATAAATCTTGTTTGTTCCCCACTAGATTCTTGCTTACTCATTCCACGACGGAATCTTTAAATTCTTCTTGGTGTTCATCTTTTCCCCACCTGGATTGAGACCATAAAAGCTTTGTTCTCTTGCTGGATTATGAATACCACAAAAGAAAATTGGGATGGTTGTTGCACACCTGACCCCTGAAGTCTTTCCGCATACAGAAGCAAAGGTCAAGGTATATTGTGAGCAAAGGACGGTATCCCTTTTCTTTGCTACGTTGATTCGGTCCAGAGGATGATTTTCAGATCCGTTGTAGTTCGACTCATTCTTCCACTGCGATGTCAATGACGAGACAAGAGCACACATAGGATGGACAAAAACGTGGCAACCAACTGCCGCACATCTAACAACACGTCGTGATGAATATATCTTATTCGCTGTCTGTTCCCGGGATTTATATTTTCTTGAACCGAAGCACGTTGACAAATTACTATTTGAACCACAGAGAGCACATGACTGGATTTTGGAACTTGTCGAGACTTTTTGATTGGCAGTCCAAATTCTACAAACTTCATGAACCCAAACGATCTCACTTTCGACAGTAATCTGAGACATAGCTCCTCCAGACCGAAGACAAATAGCACACGCAATTTCGCCATCAGTCACGTTAGAATGGCCTCTTTTCTGTACTTGCATCGATTCGAACTGAGGATCTTTCAACTTGCTAGAAGGTATTGATTTTCGTTTAGATTTCTTCATTGATGTGATCATATGTGATGCATTTGTCGTTCCGCAAGTCCCACCGTGTTCTTTCTCTCGATAACAACACACAGAACATTTCCATTGTTCTTTCTTTTTGAGATCACTAGTTGTAGATAGGATTCTATATTCTCCTGGGTCGAGACAACATTGAATATGCACTGAGAGGCCACATTCCATGCACTTTTTCACTTCAAGACCTCCTTCCGTTGACTTCCAACAAACTGTACAGCGGGAAACACGGTTTTGGCTTGCACGCATCAAACTTGGTTGTACTGAGTACGACGAGATGGTTCCAGGCGAAGTACATACAACGTGAATTATACCGGTACTATCAGGAACGGATTCAATGATTGGAGGGAGAGAGTCCGGAAGCTCAATTTTATTGGGCTTCGTCTCGAGTAAACACTTCACAATCCCATCGCATTCCAGCGAGGCTTGAAGGTTTACTCCAACACTATATGATTCTTTTTCGTGGTCCTCGTGATCTTCGTCAACTGCCTCTTTCGAAGGACGATAAACCTTTCCATCGACTTTTAAACGAACCACAATATTTCTTGGCCTCTTATGCGCACCATTTTCTAACTTTTTCCCAGTCAAAAGAGACAGAAAGGAGACTCGCTGAGGCTGGTCTGACGATATTTTACTTGTCCAAACCAGCCTTGTTCTACCCACTGGAGTCTTGGAACTTTTCGACGATTGAGAACTCGATAAGCCATGTCGAATGTCGTATGAACCAAGCTTTTCGGCTTCCAGTTTCCCCTTCATTTTGGTCATTTTCCTACCGTTTTCGACTTCGACAGGAAGTACAGCTTCCAAGGTATTGGAAGGCATATCTGCGTCAGTTACTCCCAGCTCTTCAGACGAACTTGTGAATATTGTAGATCTACTACTTGAAGAAGAAATTTTCACAGATATATCATAGGAAGCTACACGGCTTCGCGCTTGTTCAATCTTTCGTTTCTTCAGGGTTTGAATTGCTTCAAAACATCTGAGTTCAGTTTCGCCTCTGATAGAGCGATCGTCGTCCTGAAGATCATTGGTACTCGTGGTTAATGGTAATGGAATCGCAGATAAGTTTTCGGGACGATACGAAGGTAACGTAGAAGGTAATACAGTTGTAGAAAATTGTATTATTCCAGGCTCGGCCGAACGTCTGGCTGCAGCCCGAAAGTTCTCAGACGAGTTGGCAAGACGGATTGCCGATACGCCGCTTCTGAAACTCCCCGTTTCATATTGTCCAAAACCGAAGTTTCCATTTGCGAAGGGTGCGTGGCTGCCGTCATCAGCGGTCAATACGTCAATCATCTCATCGATGTCACAAGGAATGTTTCTTGCGACAGGAATTACCTCATGTGTCCATGGAAGTGACATCGGTTGTAAAATTCGCTCCATGACGTAATTTGCGTCTTCCAGTAACGATCTATTGTAAGACCTCGAATCTAATTCTGCCATTATGGAAGCACATGTATCAATTGAAAGATCGGATTTCGCTCCTGAATGTTTTTCCAAGCGAACACTCTACATGCCGTTTTATTCATTTTTGTCACTAATCATGTAAGTCGATCGATCTGAGTAGGTTTGCCGAATTGATGCACAACAACATGGATTTATGACTCATTTCATACGCAACGTTGATGATAATGTATGATCGCAGGGCACCATGGTGACGAAAGTCTACATGAAAGCGCGATTGGGATGGAAACTTACCGATTTCGGTTCTTCCTCCGAGTTTGTGATATTTGAATTCGAAGATCTCAGATTCCGCGAACGAGTAAAGTGGTTTCGAGGCGCATGGCAAGCATTCTGTTGTTCCATATCGTTCGTACTTCCGTCGAAGTAATGCGCTGCAGTAATATTTTTATTGGTTCTGATTTTGCTATCAAGAGCACTGTGTCCCTGGTCACCACGAGTTTCTGCGGATTCATTGTTGCCGTTCTCGAAAATGTGTAAATGCTCACGAGAGGATGCCATGCTTGGCGTTGCAATATTCGAGAAATTATTTGCGTTTCTTCCTCAAACTTTTTACTCCTTGGAGTGCTCGTAGGTTCCCTGATGACAAATCTGCTACCAAAGTACTTGTAGTACTGATGCTGCCCACCAGTTTCGCATATTATGTTAGAATTCCACACAAAGTAGATTGATTTGTTCCACTTCCAACTTTCTCGTTCGTTGAGACACACCGGACTACCACGCAATCAGTTAACAGGATAAGAGTTTGATTGAGATGGCTTTCCTATCTTGCATTCACCAGATTGATAATGATAATGATCATGCGTTGTAACAAAATCCTTGTACGGTAGTAGCAGATGGTGTTGAATCATCAAGCTTTCAATCCCACAGCATCATCGATCAAAAATAACATTTTCGAAGCACTCTTCAAATTTGGTTTCACTTTTTCTTCCTATCGCTGCCCGAACCCCCCCCCCCCCTTTTGGATTAGGTACGAGTTTAATCGGAGTAAAATGCGTTAACCGTATGAACCCTACCACGTCCTACAGGGCAGAAAGGCATTCTATTCAAACACCAAAAATTATTACTAGTAGCATCATGGTTAATTTTGGGCACTGTATTTTAGTACTGGTCCTACACAGATCTACTAGTTTTCGGTCACTTTTTCCACTACAAACAGCTCAATGAGGTAAAATAAGCTAAACACAACAGCTCAGGAAAGGCTTGTAATGAGATCCCCTTTGGGGAAAAGCTTCCTTATAGTGTTGGGAATAGCCCCATGTGTCATTGTTACACGATTAGGGGCCAGGGGGGGGGCGATTCTCCACTAACACCCGGTATGGCCAAAATTGGCCGGTTTACAAGACCCCCTGCTGCTTAGAAAATAGGCCAGAACTCTATCAAAAAACAACTTTAGAGCACCAGACTAAGCGCCCAGACCAAGATAATACAATTACTTAGTGATCCAGGTCATTGGGATGCTTAAGGATGCTCTGGCGGCTTAGAACTAGTATGCAGAAGTTACAGTAGTAGTGGGCCAAAATTCCTGCGTTAATTCTAGGTGTAATTTTACTCAAGTTAAACTCGTATGCGCTACTGGGGATGTGCTTTTCGAATTCCTCCCCTCGAAAAATGTGGGTTATTTTTGGTGAAAAATAATCCGTTTTAGAATTATGGGTTATTACTACCTCCGTCCAGATATAATTGTACACTTTGCAGTACTCAATTTGTCCAGTTATAATTGTCCAGTATGCAATGGCCCTATAGAATGTGTACAATAAGTACTACAACTACTGTGTCAACATTCATATTTAAGACTATTACTACTATTACTATTACTATTAGAACCAATACAGCACTAACTACTAGTACTAGTATTGGTATTACTATTGTTGAAGTCTGCCAGTACTGAACGTGCGAAGGCAATCTTTTGTTGGTTGCAAATGATCGATACTGGAAGCTCCCCTTGGCAAGAAAGCTTTTCTTTCCCAAGGTGTGGAATCTTGTAAGTGTTGTCACCACCAACACMAAGTGACTCCTCCATTGCACACTGTAGTGTCAAAAATACCTTGTTTAGAGTCTCAAGTTTGGATTCTTCAAATGCAGCACCAATCACGTTGGCAATCAATGTATCCATATTCAAAGACCACTTCTTGTGTTGAAGGCTCTGAATAGAATTGAAGAAACCCAAATCAAGAACATTAAAGTCGGGACTGTTAGGTTGTTGGGGCTTCACAACAATGTTCCAGTTCCTCTCGCAAGCTGCAGCTGTCACAGTTGCTCTGGTGTTCAGTGTATGAGGCTTTGCATTGTCTTCCTGGATGATGCAACTTGGAAGAACACTGTTACCTCTGGGGAACTTCTTGTAAATTGCTGGTAGAACTTTTTCAATCATGAGCTTCCTGTACGCTTCTTTGTTGATGTTGATAGGGGGGGGTTCAATTGTACCTCGAGGTCGGTTGACAGAAGATCTCTGCGCTGGTCTTTACTCCACAATAGGCCAAATACCAAGCTTACCATCAAACCAAGCATTCCTACCATGATCAAATCTGGGCCTTGCTGTTGCACATAGAAACATCACCTTGCGCCTCTTAGTGGAAGCAGCAGAGATGCGAGTCATTCTTGTTGGCGCTTCCTCCCTCTTATTAGTGGTGGAAAGGAACGGAGGCGCGTTGGCTCAACGGAGACGCGATCTCACCCCTCTTAGTGGAGACAACGGAGAAGCAAGGCGCTGGCGAGTCAATGGATCCCCTCTTGTGGACGCGTGAGGTGAGAGGAGGCGTCAATGGATCCCCTCTTAAGTAGTGGATGCGCCAGGTGAGGGGACACGTCTATGCTGAGTCACTTGAGGTGCAAAGAAGCCGGTGCAAAGAAGCCAGTCTTAGTCAGTTGAATGGAAAGAGGAGATTCGAAGAGAGGAAATCAGGAGGTGTAGTGAAATCAAGAGTGAAATTTATCATGTGAAAATACGACGGGGAGCATTTTTGCGCCATGCGCACAGCACTTTTTTTCTCTTCGCGTCGGTTCTCCAGCTCAAAATTGAAAAAAAACTGCACAGGCCCAAATACGCCCAAGCAGTTTTTTGCTTCCAGTTGCCACCAACAATGACTGCACAGGAACATTCTCAATGAGTACGATAAGTATATCATGATAAAGCTCTCAGTCTGGGCTTTTTAAATAAACCGGTCCGGTCCTTAAGGGACCAGTAGAACCCAACTGACAGTAAAATCAAATTTTTATGCCAAAACAGAGCCTCTTTGAATAGCTGTAAAGAGTGCACCAATGCTATTAAAAATTTGCAATTTACACAAGTATGTACTACTGCAATAGATCTGTTTAGTGCAAAAATAAGCATTCCAATCACCCAAATATGGAGCTTATTTCAACTGAAGAGGTGCAAAGTGTACAATTATATCTGGACAGAGGTAGTACATGCGAAGAATAACCCACGTTTTCAAACGTGGGTTATTTTATTTGAAAAATAACCCATGAAATAACCCACAAATTTACAGTCATCTGGGTTGACGGAGAACCAAGGATGTTAAGTATTTTAGTCATTAACCATAATTAATCACTGTTTTTAGTTTTTGAAAATAGGCCCAGCAGTTTTGTGAGTTATTCATGGATTAATTTGTGGGTTATTTCATGGGTTATTTGTGGGTTAACCCAGGAACCCACGTTTTAAAACATGGGTTATTTTTTGTGAAAAATAACCCACGTTTTAGGATCATGTGTTATTACATGGGAAAAATAACCTGTGAAATCACGCCCCTGATGTTCCATTTCAAAGGGGGGACGCACATGCGTTGGTTCCGGAGGGCCCTGTTAAAATTTAAAATCACACATACGGTTGATATATTACTATTCATACAACTGACTGATCTGTACAAGGTATTTTTGCATTGAATGGGTGATTCCCGTTATTTAGCACATTCATTACTTTTATAATAATGGGAATCAAAGTTTCAATGGACAGACTGTGAGAGGAAGGCTGGCTGTTGTTGGGAATCTGGAATCAACATAAGGCCTAAAAAGAGGCACACATGTGATTTTTGTTTTGAGTTGTCCAACTCATCATTCCTGAGTTCCATTATAAATTTATTACATTTGATAGCACCAGTTTGACCTCTATCAAACGTAATAAAATTTGTTATAAATGTGCTAAATTTTTGGTCTGTCAGTCTATCAAAAGTAGTTTAAGAGAATTGAGTTAACTTGGTTTGGAGTGAACAGGAAGGAGTAACAAAAGGAGCCAATGAAGTGTCTGACACTGCAGGTTGTTTGTGAGGTTTCTTTTTGGAGTAGGCGTCAAAGACCAGCAAATCTTGTATGACACTCTCTGGTGGTTGTTTACTACTATGAGGAAAATGTGGGAAGTACTGGGTAAGAGGATGTGTGTTGGAGGTTGATGTGAGCAAGGGCTTGTTGACACTTGCAAGAATAGTCTTTTCATAGACCTGGTGGTAATATGTGAGCATGGAAGTAGAAGCAGTAGCTACTAATGTCTCCATATCTTCTGGGAATAAATGGGCGTGTGTTGGACAAGTCTGTGGTTTCAGTGCAAACAGAGTGCAGACTTTCATTACTGCCCGCTGTTGATCCTGTGCTTGCTTCTGAGAAAGGGTGCATGTAGCCATGAAGGTCTTTCTTTCTCTGTTCCCACAATGAGGAGATATAAGAGATAAGAAAGAATTCCACTAGATAGCCCCCTAGCACAAGTGGGGAGTGAGAGCTGGAATGAATGTCTTGGTCAGTAAACCACTGGATTGAAACATGGCTGGCAAACATGTGATGCCATCCAATCTCATTCTGGAAATGAATAACTGGATGAAGGGATGCAGGATATTTCTCTGGGGAAACCGTGCCAGCAGAGTCCAGCCATTTGGTAAGACAGCTACTAGTTAGAGTGTCAGAGGCAATTGACCAGAAGCCAAGGGTGGAGATCCATTGTTGCAGAGAGGCAATGGTCTGTTGTCGCCATCTGAGGCGTGACGGGTGAGAACATCTAAAGAGATGCTCAGAATCTTCAGGCATCTGGCAAAGAGAACAAGTATCATGTGTTTGGTAGTTCCACTTTTTGAGGACAGTGGTAGTGGGTAGAATGTGGTTGCAAGGTTTGGCGACCAGGACATTCCTGGAGATGCGATTGATGGCAATACTTAGTAGGGACTTCCAGGGAATATCAGCAAGGACAAGTAGTGACTACTACTGGTTCCTGTCTGCTAAGTATGCATGATATCAGGGGATCAGACAAGAGTCTGCGAGAGCTCTCTTATATTGGCTAGTTACTGAGCAAGATTGGATCTGCAGGACTGCTGGCCATGATGCCTGGTAAAACAGGAGGGGTGATAAAATTAGGCATTGCCATCTGAGCTTGAAAGGCGCCAGCATAAACACCAGCTTCCACATTCCTCCTCAGCTGAGCTGTCAGAGAAAGTTGATCAAAATCAGTAGTGTCATCTTGGTGGCCTTTTACTCAAGAAAAAGAGAAAGTGATGGATGGAGTCTGAATTGTTTGAAAGATCTGTTCAATCAGGTCAAAGTCTGGTGCCATGGTGATACTACTAGTACTGCATGCAAGTACTAGTGGCATTGGCATATACTAGTACCTCTGTATATTCACATCTGGATTGGATTCTAGGGCCACCAACTGTTTTCTGTTTCTACTTAAATACTAGGGCTGTTAAGTAATTGAGTGCTACTACAATAAAATACAATAAGTGTTGATGCGCTGCGCGCGCATTAGTTGCTCTATTTCATACGGCTCCTGGAATTTAGTTGAAAGACTGGAATATTTTTAAAAACTGAGTTAATCTTGTGAGCCAAGCCCTTATTTTACCTTACCGTACAAGACGTGTGTGCTAGTATTTCTGAACGGAACTTGCTCCAACGAAAGAAGTCAAATGTTTTGCTACGAGTTCAGTAGGATATTACCGTACTGGTTAGGTTCGTACTGTCAGGTACGGTAAATGKGACGAAAAGGCTGAACAAAATTAAAGGTCTTGTGACACAGATTCATGTGAATACTTTTATACAAACACTAATATGCTTTTTGGTCAGTGTGCGGTTCGGCGTTTAGAAAAAATGAAAAATATAGGCGCGAGAGTCATTGTGAAACGCATGGCTGTCAATTTTTGATTCAAATTCATCTGTTCAGCTGGCACAGGTTCGCTGGCGCTTGTTTTGCGGCCAACCTCCCAAATTTTCTATCTAGCATTTTTTCCAGATTTTCAAGGCCCGTGACGCTCGTGCCGGCTCCCGACATAAAACTGCGTCGTGCGTTTAGGGGATGTGCACATCGAACAAAGAGGTGTGGATGAATCGGGAACACATAAGGGAACTAAGATGATGAAGTCGGGAAATGCACTTGGAAATGGTTACGTGAGCGGGGAATTCACATTCAGACCGATTCAGGTACGAAAAATGCATTTTGACAACTTTGCCTCGATTCTCTCGGATCGAGTAAGTTGTGAGTGGATGCATGTCAACGAAGACGATTGAACGTCTTCGATTCTGCTTCGAGTGTCTTCAAATTTGACAACGAGTGCAAATCAGCAATTCCTGGAAGGCCAAACAATTGATTTAGTCAAGGAATCAAATCTCACATGATTGGTACACATCCATTGTTTTCTTAATTTTCCCCATTGCAGTCATGGGATAGTAGAACTGGTACACCAACTCAGTGTATGGAACGAATGTCAATGGAAAATAGAGAAGAGGGGACAGAATCGAAACCGTTTGGCATAGATGTAAGTTATTTCAGCACAACTATCAATAAGAACACGTCGAAGAACAATATGACATTGATCCATATCAAAGCAATGTTATCTTCTGTATCTCATTGTTGATTTTGTGTGGGCCGCTCTATCCCTTCTTGTTGCTTGTAAACAACATAGACACCTATCGATGATGTTCTATGTATTCGCACTGAAGATCTATATCGTGACATGCGAGAACGCCAGGTTGAATTTGTATCTCCAGCTAATTACGCCCAGAATGCTTCATATCTGCCATATCGCCGGTACTTGGTAGACTGGATGAGCGATGTTGGAGAGCAATGTCGTCTTCACAACTCCACCGTACACGTGGCGATATTGTTCTTAGACAAAATATTTCGGTCGCGAAACATCCCAAGGGGACAATGGCAACTTCTTGCCACTGCATGCATAAGCGTAGCGGCTAAGTACGAGGAAGCTGAGGAACATTGTCCTCCTATTCCTGACTTGTTGCGACTAACGAAACTTGGAAATGCAGGCCACACTCCTCTCTCATTTCGAGAAGGTGAATTGGAGGTGTTGAGGTATTTGAAGTGGCAGCTGCGTGCGATTCCTCCTATTCATGTCGTAGGTTATTTTCTGGCGAAAGGAGTAACATTCACCGACGATTCGTGGCAAGGACGAGCCTTGATCGAAAAGATCCCGAGATATGTGAAAAAGTACGCAGAATTCTTTTGTAACCTAACACTTCAGGAATATGCGTTTCAACAGTATTTACCTACCCTTCTTGGTGCTGCTATTATTCTTGCGTCACGAGTCGCACTAAATATTGAACCTAGATGGAAACCAGAACTGATGGAGCTAACGGGGTACAATGAAGTCGAAATCACTGATGCATTTCATCGTGTCTGGTCTTACTATGAGGAACAATTTCCAGGACATGGATCAAGATCAATATCTCCCAGAAGTGTCACCAACATGTATGGGTAATCTCTCTCTCTCGTCATTTTACCCCTGGTACGATCTCGAACTTTTCAACAAAACTCCTACACATCTCTTCGGTCGAAAACTCACTGCGTAGGAAACCGTGACACGATGGTAAAAACGATGCCCGGATATGAATTATTCGGAATGCAAGACTTAGTTCTTGCTAGCCTTGAAAAACAATCAATTCCTAGATAGGTTTGGCACCTCTCTATTCGAAGATAAACAGAAAGGTTCTCTATTTGGAAGAACCGCCGCAAATGATTACCATTAAGACTAACTAGTATAAGTAAGCTCCTGAATGAAATGAAATAGCTACCATACATAGGTGAAAGCAAACATCTAGTAGTTGGCATCTACCATTATGCACTTTCGATCATTTGTAATGGTCTTCTAGTCTGAGGTTGAAAACCACAACTTCCAAGCCTCAAAGAAATTCGTCCTACCCAGTAGCGCTGTTTCTGAAATCTTTAGGAGTGGTTCATTTGAACTTTTTGTCGTGAAGAAGTAGAGATTAAGGTGTCGTATTGGTTTTTAAAGTTTTTTGCTCCTTCAGACAGATTGGTATAAAAATGAGCTACCGCTCTGTGCTTAGCCCTGCCCGCATGGGCTGTTTGCGTGACAACACAGTTGGATTGCGAAAGCGGCAATCACGACAAAACCAATGGCCAGCGGGCACCACACTCATTCGAGGCGTTGCACAAGCCAGATGGAAATATGCGTTACATTGGTCACAAACAATGAGTTCTCCACCGTCGTTGCAAACTGAACAATATTTTACCTTCCAATATTTCTTCATCGTATGATAAGAACGAGACGATACTTTCCACTGATAGTAGTGAACCAAGCAGTCAGATGTCGTGCGATTTAGAGATTTCGCAATTTTTGAAAAATCTTTTTGGTTTTCTTGGGTTAAAACCTCAAACTGTTCCGCTTCCTGGCTGTTGAGCGACGAAGAGGTGGGGACGTGGTCACAACTCAGAATTTTCTCATAGTTCAGTCGCGCCAATTTGACACAGTAGCCGCTCTTGTGAAGTATCGAAAACAGAAGTTCTTGCTTGCACAATTCGTGGTCACCATCCAAAAATCCTGAGATATCTTCTCCTCTTTCTTTCGCTTCTTCTGCGAGTTTTGGATCCCATAGAGAGTCGCAGCTAGAAGATCAACATGATGCATGATAGAAAAATATGAGTGAACATGTGAAATGATAGAAAAAAGGTTGCCTGCATATTCCCACTCGCAATAGTGCATGATACTTTTCTTTCTCACTTACTCCAGAAACGATCTATTTGCCGCCGTTAAACCTGCGAATTGTTCTAGTTTGGGTGAGATTTGTGCTTGATATTGTGGTCCTACTCTTGATGAAGTTATTGGTCGAGGGGGCTCGTCTGGGATTTCTTGAACATGATTGTTTTCCCATGCTAGCTTAGCTTGACTGCTATTAGAAATTGGGATGCTAGACATCGAAAACGACATAACTAATGTTTCCCTTTCTATAATCCCACATCGCAAATGCTTGTAGCTGAGGAATCGATTGTCAAACTCAGTACTGGTTACGACAGGATTCAAAATTTTTGTTTCTTTGCTCCCACCAAACGCCGAGTTGCCGGAATTTCTTCTACATCGTTTTCTTTTCCTTGTGAAATCATATTCAACTTTTTGTGTCAAATGCAAATATGACGTAAAAGGGAATTTGCTTGGCTTCTCCCGCTTTCCGTCTGAAACACAAGGGTCGTTGCCTTGTTGTATAAGACGAGAAACAAAACGGTGCTTATCCTTTGTTCCCGAAGGAATAATCCATTCGCATAGACCTTCTACAGCGCGCGCTCGTTTCGTCTCTCTGTTCCTAGAATCTGAACTATGCTTGTCACGTTTTTTAATTTTTCTTGACAAGTTTCGGTCTCTGTTATGATCAGGAAAATAATCGTTCGTTTTGTTATTCTCACTGCTTTTGGTTACGCTCTTATTATTTCGTGGTTCCCAGTTACACTGCTCTCGAACGCGTGTTTGTTGACTGAGTCTGTTCCCAGGGTCACTGTGTTTGTTGCATATTGGCGGCAGCGTGAATGGGGATCGCCGTGTTTCTGTCGATCTCGACGGAGGGGAAGTGCTGCAGGAAGCAGCAATCATGTTGACCTTGTTCGCGTTTGTGATCTTAGACACTGCTACGATTCATACTAGCAGAAAAATGGATCGATCCAAAACACTTCCGAAAAGCTTGAGAGATTTTCCAATCCAGAAAGAAAATGCCACCTACTGATTGTATGTATTCGAATTGGAAATGTGGTGCCTGAGATACTACTAGTCGTTGAACCTGCTTGGTTGAAATCCGAGTAACAGCCGTGTAATCCATTTCAACTCTCAGTAGAAGCGAATGGATCTACCGACGCGGTAGGGGTGCTATTAGACAGAACTCCTCTCGAGGTTGTAGAGATGTATTTCTCGATTCACGCTGAAAAGAAAATGGGCTTTCCTCTATCAATGGCTGATGATAACGAGTCTCTGAATCTATTGGTACGAAGTGCAGAAAAACTGTTAAAAGTAGAGGTAATAAATGAATACAGTAATGTTTTGACAGTATGAGTATCAACAATTCTGTCTGTAAGGCGTAGAGACCATACCAAATTTTACAAAAAAATTAAGTCATAATTTACTCTCACTAAACAAATCCAACTCAGGATGACCATGGGGATTGCAATACCTCCGCAACCAAAGCACTTTAAGACAAACAGAGAGTACCATTAGAAAGCTCTCACTCTCCTTAGTACTAAGTACTAAGGTCACCAAATATCTCTCCTGGTTTCAAAGAACTCTTATTTCTACACTTGTTATACTAAATAGGGCGAAAATGTAGTACTACAAAATTTGTTTGGGATAGATGATCATACTTGAGTCTCACGATTTGACTACAAGGAGAGCTGCTATGCCAAATCCAAGTAGGCAAATGGAAAGAGGACTATCAAAAGAAGGTCCCCATGCATTTCGTTTTTTGACTACAAGGAGAGCTGCTATGCCAAATCCAAGTAGACGGATCAAAAGAAGACTATCAGAAGAAGGTCTGCATGTACTGGTTTTGCTATTGTCCGAGTTTTGGTTGAGAAGTTATGCCAAAGGCCAGTTTGATGTTTCATCGGGGGGAAGGAATTGTACCAAATCTCAAGTGACAGTTGAAAAAACTACAAGGAGAGCTTCTATGCCATATCGAAGTAGACAAATTGAAAGAGGACTATCAGAAGAAGATCTCCATGTACTGGTGGTTTTGATATTGTCCAAGTTTTGGTTGAGAAGGTATGTTAAAAGTGGTGGAGGAGAATGGTGATGACMAACTACTAAAATGGAACCAAGTACTGGCATCTCGCGATTTAACTATAAGGAGAACTGCTATGTCAAATCCAAGTAGACAAATCGAAAGAAGACTATCACCAGAAAGAAGATCTCCATATACTGGCTTTGCTATTGTCTGAATTTTGGTTGAGAAGTTATGATAAAAGTGATGGAGGAGAATGGTGATGACCAAGTACTAAAATGGAACAAACAAACAGATCAGGGAGTTGGGGCACATTCCTTAAGGAACTTCTCCCTATCAGCATCAGTCATCTGTCTAAGTGTCTCCTTGAGCATCTTTTTGTTGTTCTGTTCCTTTCTTCCAAGAGCAGTGTCCTTCAACTTGATGCCCTTGGTATTCAATCTCGTGAGTTCAGCTTTGTCCTGTTCAGTCCATTTTTGTATGACTTAGGTGGACCTCCCTGTTGAAGCAGGAAAGTGTACTTTTGTTTCATCTCACTTATATTTTTCCCTTGCTTACTAGGTGTAATACCGTGCCAGTTCAGTAATGTTTGTAGCTGTGAGCGCTTCTGCTGTTGGGTGGAATTGCTGGTTCCAATTCTACAATAGCAAGGAGAGCATCCTTTTCAATTTTTTCCATAGCAAGCATAGCCTTTCTGTCTTTAACCAACACCTTCACAGTATCTCTCCGTTCTGCAAGTTCCATTGCCAGAAATGCATCATCTGAAGTTGCATGTCCACCTCCTGTGACAAAAATGCGCTGACCATGAGTCTTTGTATTGGACAACATTTCAATGCAATTGCTGGAATGAGGAATAGTTACAGCTGTGCGCTTAACTACTTTTTGTTTGAGTTGACGAAGAAAGTGGCGACCCTCAAAACCTCTGGAACTGAGAAGGCTACAGGCAGTTCTGTTCTGTTCTGTGGTTCAAGCTCCTTGTACCATGTCCACTGGGGATCATTGTTGTGAACTTTTTGCACCTGTCTTGATCCAAGACATGCCATGGTGAAGGGTGCAGCACCAATTTTAGCCCATGATTGTTTGTTCTTTTCCTTTGAAAATGCAGCTGCAAAACAATCTACATAACCAGAACAACCAGTTACCTTGTCTGTACCACCAAAAATCAAGAGGCTTACAGTTGAAGGGGGGAATGAAACACTTTGGTTGTTATCAATCTGATCAGCAGTGAGTTGAGTTTGGAACAAGCTTTTGAACAAACTGTAACTTTGATCTGTTTCTTGCATCACAGCTGTGGTATTCGGGATTGTTGGATATAGTAGAATGAAACCTTTAAGTCTGAGATCAGCAAGTAAACTACTGTTGAGTATTCCTAGACCAGAATCAAGCTTGATGATCACATGTCACCCATTTGCATTTCAGACATCAGGAAACAATGGAATCACACTGGTATTCAGAAATGCTTGAAACTCCTTGTCATCCATGCCCCCTCTTTCATTTAACCCCACAGTTACAGGCCACAGAGAACCTTTTCCATAATTACCAAAAACACCTGGGGTGTTTTTGGTGTGATGAGATATCTCCAAACTGAGTTTGTGTCTCTCCTCAAGCTTTGGTCTTGTTGGAAATTGAAAATGAGGAGGCATTGTTTCACCTGTGGCAGTGCTACCAGCAATGAATGTTACAGTCACACTAGACTTTGATGATTGAATACCTACTTAAGGAATCCCAGGGTCATTGAAATATACCTGTGGTCTACTGCATCATCGACAGTGATCTTGATCCAATGAACCCATCCTCAAAGGAGCTGATCCAGCAGCTTTTGGACTCCCTCCAGGGGCGCCAGGCCAGGATGATGTGGACACAGACAACAACGACAACAACAACGATGACAACAACAACGACGACAACAACAATGACAACGACAACGATGACGACAATGACGACAATGACGATGATGATGACGATGAGGACGATAACAACAACAACAACAACAACAACAACAACAACAACAACAACAACAACAACACTGCAGACAAGCCTAGGGCTGAGCCATTAACACAAGATTCCGATACACAATTCCTTGCTGCAATTTCCCAGGTTAAGTACTTTGGACGCAGAACAAAGCTATTGGGAGCGGTTGGTCCCAGTGGCACCGACAGCGAGGAACTCAAAACTTGGCTACTCCAATTTGGAAATTTCTCCAAGATGAATTTGCAGCCCTGACAAATTGGCTGACCAATCTACATCCCCCATGGGCTTCCTTTTGTGCCTTCATGGCATGCTGGCTCATGGCACTTGACAAGCAACCTGGGGTTTTACCTGTTGGAATTGGTGAGATTTACCTCTGACTCATGGCCAAGTGCATTCTCCACATGGCAGGCCCACTCACCACCGACCAATGTGGCAATTTCACCCCAATGACGCCAGACCAACAATCTCCAAGATTTTCTGGCATTCCCAGTCAAATTTTCCAGCCTGGGGGTCCCGGATCCCAAGGCTAAGGCCTAGGCACACTTTGACATGTCTGTTGGTGCCACAAGCAATCTCATTGCCTTCCTCCAAAATTCTGAAGAAATCAACGCACAGAATTACTGCGACAATGTTTGGCAATTAGAGTCACTCCAAGCCTCCCTTGACACCCTGCTTGTGACTTGGTCTCCCAACATCAGCTGCCCCATCCAACAGGGACAGGCCACCAGAGCCTGGCTGACTGCTACCCCCATATCCTCAATGGGACCGTTCTGTCAGCCAAAGAATTTTCAGACAACCTCTGACTGCGATTTGGCCTCCATCCTGTACACCTTCCCAGGCAGTGTGACAGATGCTGTGCCAGCTTCACAGTCAAACAGGCAATGTCTTGCAAAAATGGTGGGCTTGTCCTCCACCGCCACAATGACATTGCAGGAGAATGGCACTAGTTTTGCACCGAGGCCTTGACACCAAGCAGTATAACTGATGAACCACAAATCCCCATCTATCAGCCACCACTTGCCCAAAACCAAAGCTGACAGGACACCCCACCACCACCACGAGAGCTCAGAGGCAATCTTGCAGTGAATGGATTTTGGGAACAGGTCATCACAGCAGTGTTTGACATCAGGATCACTGATACTGAGTCATCTTCTCATGGAAAGTGTGCCCCAGGCCCAAGAACAAGAGAAGAAGGAAAAGAAACAGGACCACCACTGTCACCAAGCCCACTGGCACTTCACACCTCTTGTTTACTCCATTGATGGCATGGAGGGCCCAGAGGCAGTTTCAGCTTGCAAGCATCTTGCCTCCAAGTGGGGAATGAACTACTCACAATAAGTGGCCTTGTCAGATCCAGAATTGGATTTGCTTTGGCAAGAGCTGCTAGCAGATGCTTGCAGGGCACTCGCAATGCCAGATTGAAATTCAATCAGCCCCTTGATTGGATCTCTCATTCTGGTGTTTGGGTGTATGCTTATTAAGCCAGTTTTTTGTGGGTGTTTTGAGTGTGGTTTCCCACTGAGGTTTGGAGCTCTGACAAAGCTCCAAAATGTCAGAGCAAGCCACAAAATTGATCAAAATCAAGCCACATTTCATCACTCAGTGTTATTTGCATGGAAATTCACTGTGATTTCCAACAGGTTGATCAATTGAGGCTTTTCTTTGTACCATATGTATGATCATATGATTGATAGATTCTTAGCAACACTCGGGTGTGACCTTTAACACATAGTAAATTGAAACCTACTACTACTACTAGTACTACTGCCACTAATGGCACTACTACTAGTACAACCATGTATAAAATAGTACTATTGATTTTATTAAGATATAATATAATATCAGGGCTACTTCAAAATCAGAGACCAATTGCATACTGGTCAAATAAGCTCAACAAAAACCAACGGAATTACACTACAATGGAGAAGGAACTTCTAGTAGTAGTCCTCTGTCTCAAAGAGTACAGAAATATGTTATACGGTGGCTGCATCAATATCTATACTGACCACATGAAGAGCCTTATTTTCAGGACACTTTCACAGTCCCGGGTTCTCAGATGGAAGCTATCACTCAAAGGATTTGATATTAACTGGGTTTACATTCCAGGCAAGCAGAATGTTCTTGCTGATTGTTTTTCACGAGTGCCCAGAATGGATCAGTGCACTGTCGGGGATAAAGAAAAGAAAATATATGAGCAGAATAAAGGAACAGTCGTGAATTTCAAGGAATTAACAGCCCAAGTGGACCCGGAAGATGTTTTCTATTTGGAGCCAGAACTATATGAATGTTTAATCAAATGGAAAACCCACTGATGAGTGCAAGTCTCTATACTTATCAGCTCATGGATCCTCAGTGTCAGCAACTACATGAATCAGATCCTGAAACCTACATGAAGAGGAAGATAGGAACCTTTGAGTTACTCACTGTACAACATACCACGGACAGTAATTGGAAGATTTATGTGGCAGATGGTCTTGTGGATAGCACCCTCAGATGGTACCATCTCTTGTTGGGACACTGTGGTGGTACCAGGCTCTATGAAACCATCAGTGCCAGATTTTATGCTCCACGACTAAGCCAAAGATGCAAACAATATCAGTGCCCTGATGAGTGCCACAGATTCAAACAACAGGGTCAAGGATATGGCCTATTGCCAGCTCCTGAAGCTCAACTGATCCCTTGGAATGAAGTATGTGTGGATTTGATCGGTCCTTGGAAAATACTCCTCCCAGATGAAACTGAATTGATGATTAATACTCTCACTTGTATTGATCCAGTCACCAACCTTTTGGAGATCATAAGAATCAACAACAAATCAAGTGAGCATGTGGCAGAACAGTTCGCCAACTGTTGGTTATCCAGATATCCAACACCCAACAGATGTGTACATGATAATGGTAAGGAATTCATTGGAACATCCTTCAAGCAGCTCTTGAATCAATATGGAATAAAGAGTGTCCAAACTACAGTGAAGAATCCTCAGGCAAATGCAGTATGCAAGAGAGTCCATCAGACTATTGCCAATGTTCTACGAGCTACCCTTCACACAAAATCACTCAAAGAAGCTGAGTTTGATGAAGACCAACTGATTGACAATGTGCTCACCTCTGCAATGCATGCTACCAGATGTGCTGTGAATGCTGCAGTGAAGACTTCACCTGGAGCTCTGGTTTTCAATCAAGATATGGTAATGGATATCCCACTCATTGCAGACCTAAACCTCATCAGAGACAAACGACAACACCTAATAGATGAAAATCTTAGAAGAGAGAATGCCAGAAGAATACCCTTCTGGTATCAGGTTGGGAACAAGCCTACATGAAATACTATGAACCAGACAAGCTGTCCCAAAGATTGCATGGTCCCTATCCTATAGTGGAGATCAACACAAATGGAACTGTCGTGCTGCAGAGGAGTGATAATGTACGTGAAACGGTTAACATTCGGAAGCTTGTTCCTTATAATGGAACTGTCAATGCTAATCCTGAAGACCCACCAGCAACAACAGAGGAGGAACCCCCTATTGAAAATATTGAAGATATGATTGCTACAGTCTAGTAGTAGTAATACTGGAGGCAGTATGATTCCTGTCGGGGATAATGCAACGGATACGTACGTACATAGATGGACATACCATTCCTACCCAAATATCATAGGGTACTATTCATATACATATATCATATGATCCATTGTACCATATCCTGAAAGGTCCAAGATATTGAGAGATAGATTACCTTGCAAAGAACAAAGATGTCACAAGTTCCGAATAGTAAGAACTCTGTGTAGATTCAGTACCAGATCTACACAAGGATCTAATCGGAACTTCGGAAATCTCATGAATCGATATGATAATCTATAATCTTATAGTTTTGATTTCATACACACTTAAACATACTAAGAGTACACATATTTCGTGCAGTTAAACAAACCAGTTACTAAAATTTGTGATCAATCTTGATCACACGCAATTAACCAATTACAAATTTGTTTATTTCTACTATCACATTTTTTGTGATCAAAACCAATCACAATTCTTGGTACCAAGAGGAGGGGCCTGGGAATCTTATTCTTTCCAAAAATCCAAATTGACATAGTTCCAGATTGCTTGATTATTCTCCAAATAATAGTTTTATCCTCAACCCTAATTTTACTACGCTAAAAATGGAATAAGATCCGATTTTTGTGCAATTTGAACACTTGTGAGGGGATCTAAAATTTGAGGGAAATTAGCAAAGAATAGACCTCGGTTTTCCCCTAGAACATAAAAACATGATTGTCTGACTGACCGTTCGTACGTACACGTACGCAATGACAGGCTACCACTACTTGTATTTTTTTATTTGAAAAACCTGTTTTTTGCGTTTTGATGAACCTACGGTATGTTCACGGCGATGAAATCCGAAGGGAGTCGAAATAAGAAAAATAGGAGTAATAATCTAAAGTGAAGTTTCTGAACACGTTTGCACCACAAACGTACCCTCACTCCCTAGGGAACCAAACGGCAAGAGCAGAGAACCCACATTGATAAAAACAGAATGGGTGTCCCAGCCTTCTTTCGCTGGCTTACTGAGAAGTATCCAAAGGTTTTGCAAGATGTCGAGGAAGAGAGGGTGAAACTCGTTGGCGGGGACGGAAATGTGCGTGCTCCATTCGACAGTACACGTCCAAACCCATCGGGTCTCGAATGCGATAATCTTTATATAGACATGAACGGCATTATACACCCGTGCTCTCACCCAGAACATGGTCCGCAACCCAAAACCGAAGAAGAAATGTACGAAAACGTTTGTCATTATGTCGACCGTCTATTTCGAATTATAAGACCTCGCAAACTATTGTATCTAGCAATAGACGGAGTCGCCCCCCGTGCCAAGATGAATCAGCAGCGTTCTCGACGGTTTCGATCAGCACAAGAAGCTAGAGAAAATCTTGAAGTGGAAGAAAACATACGAAACGAACTGATAAAGAATGGACAGAAAGTTCCCCCTGCAAAAAAAGCATGGGATTCCAATGTCATTACGCCTGGTACTCCATTCATGTTGAGATTGGCTGATTTCATACGTTTTTATATTCGCAAGAGGATTAGCACTGATAAGGCTTGGCAAAATATTCGTGTCATCTTTAGCGATGCGAGTATACCAGGTGAAGGGGAACACAAGATTATGTCTCATATTCGTTTACAACGCAGCCAACCGGGATATTCACCAAACCTGGTTCATGTTCTACACGGTCTAGATGCAGACCTTATCATGCTGGCGCTGGCTACTCACGAGGCCCACTTCTACATTTCACGAGAAGAAGTAATGTTTGGAAGAAAATCACAGGAAATGGCGGAACGACGACAAAACGAAAGTGGATTTCGTGACAGGCAGCGTCAGTTTGACGAGGAAGCAGGCGATATGGCAATGCAACTAATCGAGAACAAACAAACACCAATATGTCGAGTCAGCATCCCGATCCTTAGAGAGTACATCGCGGTTGATTTCGCACAGTGCATTGATTCATCGAGGCTCCCTTTTGCACCCTCCTTGGAACGATTGATTGATGATATCGTATTTTTGGGTTTCTTTGTAGGAAATGGTAGGTTATCTTTTTCCCCTTAGTTTCTTTCCTTAGTTTCGTGACACCCGTCGAGTAACAGACTTTGCCCCTCATAAGAACGTTTTGCTAACTTTCATCATTTTGAACAGATTTTTTGCCTCACTTACCGAGTTTGGATATTCGAGATGGTGCAATGGATTATCTGTTCAATGTGTACAAAAGAATACTTCCCTCACTAGGAGATTACATTACAAACCATGGGGGTCAAGTCAACTTGTCACATGTAGATGTTATTTTGGCAGAAGTTGGATCGATTGAAGATTATGTTTTCACCATGAAACATGAGAATGAAATGAGGGAGAAGGAAAGGAGAGAGCAGTTCAAGGCTCGGAAGAAGCACGCCAATGGGAGGAGTTTAGATGATCCGCGAAATGCTCTGCAGCAAAAAAAAACAAAAGTAATGGGTCGCGCCGCTAGAATTTTGGAGAAGGAAAAGGCAGAGCGATCATTAAAGAAGGAAGTGAAAGGCAAATTTAACATTTCACACATGAAAAGTAAGGATAACTTAAAAGCTGCTGTCGCGTTGAAAGAATCATTTAAGAAGAGCGCAACAAAGAACGAGGAAGATCATGATAAAGTCAAAAATGAAGTTGACCTAGATCCTGACAAAAAAGACCAAGATAATAAACATGAAGTATGTACTGAGAGTAAGAAAAAGCGTAAAATTAACGAAGTCAACGGTGACGCGGAGGTAATCAAGGATACAAATACATCTGGAATTGGTGAAGTAGGAAATATTGACGAGGAATTCGAAGACGACGGAGAAGACGAAGATGAAAGCCCCAGTGATATTGCTGCTGCTTTCAAGGAGCGCGTCAAAGATGAGCAAAAAAAGAAACTCGATGAATATGCTCGAACTGTGGAAGACAAGGTTAAACTTCATGAAAAGGGATGGAAAGATCGATATTACTCAGATAAATGTAAGGCAGACGATGTTGCAAATCACGGAGGTCGGGAACACTTATTTCGCTCCTATGTTATGGGCCTATGCTGGGTCATGAAATACTATTACGAGGGTTGTAAGTTATTCCATCTTGTTGTTGTTCCGCATCATTCCAATTACTGTAAACGTCTTTATCTAATGCTGTGTTAGGTCCAAGTTGGAAGTGGTACTACCCTTTTCATTACGCTCCCTTTGCCTCAGATTTGCGAAATATTGAAAGATATCAGAAGGATGTGATGTCATTTGAATTAAGTACTCCATTCAGTCCAGTAGAACAACTTATGGGAGTATTGCCATCTGATTCTTCTCATGCAATACCCAAAGCAGGAAGATGGCTTATGTCCGATTTAGAGAGTCCAATTATTGATTTTTACCCATCTGAGGTCCCAGTTGATCCAAACGGCAAAGCAATGCCTTGGTTGTGGGTTGTATTACTGCCATTTATTGATGAAGATCGATTGTTGGCTGCAATGTGAGTAAATTCGTTTACATATTGAGTGCTTGATACTTCAACATTTGCTAACACTTCTTAAATTCGTTTTTAACCGTTGAAGGACTCCAACAATGTCCAAGTGGACGAAGCAGGAGCTTCTTTGCAATGCTCGCGGATTGGATGATGGGTATGTATTCTTGCATTCATCTCATCCTCTCGCACCAAAATTCAAACATGTTTTACAAGAGGGGAAAACCGCAAAAGCTTCGAAGCAAAAAATTTCGGATGCTGCTTCATATGGTTGTCCAGGCTTCACTGGTTTTTTACGTCCGCCTCTTGGGAACGAAATTATTCCTGAATCAGAAGTTGTTGCCCCACCAGAAATATCCAGCAAGGCAGTTATGACAAGCGAGGACAATTTGTTCACGGACGGAATTTCCAAAAATATGTGCTTGTGTGCTGCTTTTAGTGAACCCCCGAAACTATCCCATAAGAGCATTTTGCTTCCTGGAACGATTCTTCCTCAACCTGTGTTGTTGGACGAAGACAAGAGAATTAGTAGACCGAGGTTAAATCGAGGCGGACAATCGATAGCTTTTATGGGTGGTGATCAAAGACAGAGCCACCAAAGTGGACGCGGTAGTATGAATATTAGTTCTTACGAGCGCGATCTTGCACAACGAAATGGGAGAGGTGGCGATATGAACAAAGCCGGGACGAGATCGTGGGGTTCTTTCGAACCAACTCCAAAGAGACAATTTACTGCTCGAAATCCCTTTCATGGAAATGCACGTGGTCCCCCTCCACCTCCGCCGCGGAGACCTCCATTTCAACAGCACCAGGATCCACGCCATGGGTATCGACAGAATTATAACCAACAACGTAATCAGCGCAACCAACAGCAACACGCACGGCATCCAAATTACAACAACAATCTTCCACCGTTTCAACAAAATCCAAATCAGGGTTATCAGAACCAACAGTATCAGGGTCATCAGATGCCACCTAGAGGAGGCCATGCAGGTGGGTATCACAATTACTCTTTCAACCAACGTCAACAGCAACCACGCGGAAGCAATCAGAACTATTCTCGAGGTCATAATCAACAGCAGTCGCAGCAAAGATTCGATTTTCGTGGACATAATCAAACAGCTGGTCCTTCAATAGGAGGACGAAATGCTTCCGGTGCTGTGACCAATAATGTTATGAATTCATTGAAAGCACAATTGAAAAACACACTGAAACAGAATCGACGAGGGAATGATAGACGCTGAGGGGGGTATTGATTACATGTACTGTAGAAATTTATCTCATAATAAAATTGCTTTGACGTTTACAACATTATGGTCCTTTCAAGTCCTCATTGTACGCCACAGATGATTTTCCTTAATTCCAACTACTGTGATGTCTTGCCCGTGAGTCTTCTTAAAGCCGTTAATCCCGGGGGGGGCGGAAGCCTTTTCGGCGGGGACAGTCGAGCCTGGGTCAAACTTGCTCGTCTGTTGTTCGCCACTGCTGGGTTTTTTACGACAGTCTCCTCTTTTCTTTGCTTTTCGCTTGTTTCGAATTTTGAAAATTCAGTATCTTCATTATTTTTGTCGCGCATGTCGAGAATAGGAGCACGCTGAAAGTGATCTGGAAAGGAGAGTGAAAAATGTTGTTTGTTCGTCATCAGATACTGATTCTTTATATCGTAAATGTAATTCACTCTTTCCAAATGTTCATGGATCGGATGCTTGATTTTGCTCTGTGCTTCCTGTCTCAATCTTCTGGATGCTTGAAAATCTTCCTCATCTTGTTGAGTCCATTTTGATTGCAATGCCTTACGTCCCGCTTCACGTACAGCGTTTTTAAGTTCTGCATTTTCCTTTTCAAGCTGGGTACAAATTTGCTCGAGCGCTTGTTTCTCTTGGAGTGCTTTCTTTAGTTTTGCCTCAAGATTCTTGGTTGGATTTTCTTTCTTGTCCTCGGGCTTTGAGTCAAAATTCGTGAACCCTGTCTCAAACCAATTTGGTGATAATTCCTTCGCATTCAATTGTTTTTCAGTAATTTCCGTATGAGAATGATCTTGAATTTTATCCTGGTTTCCAGTGGTAGAATATTCGGAGTTCTCTAATCGAGAACGACCGAGAGGAGATATGAGCTCTTCTTGTCTAAGCTTTTCAAAATTCTGCTTTGCTTCTGGTTCGGGATCAAGCATTGCTTTGCATCCACGACGCTCCAGACTGTTCTCCTGTTCTGTACCAACAGACAGCGCTTTCCTTCTATTTCTACTATTTCTCGGTGATCTTGTTGCGATCGGGTACCGCTCTCCCCTTGACTCAGTTTCTGCGCTCTGGGAAAAATGTACTCCTGGAAAGTCAGTAACTTTTTCTCTCATTTTTGTCGATTTCAAACGAGGCTGTTGGACTTCGGCCATAGCAGATGCACTTGGTTGGATCGATGTTTCAGCTGACATGTGATTTTCCGATGACGGAAGATGCTCTATCTCATGCCTTGGAAATTGGGAAATTACCTCTACGCGCGAATTAATTCCTCTCGACATTTTCACGGGTTCTGTTCGCACAATAGCTGATGCAATAGGCTTCTTAGATGAACAAGTGCTTCTTGGATTGTGTACCGAAACCACTTTTGCCATCCTTGGTGCTCCGGGTACAACATTCATCGACTTCCTAGTGGAGTCTCGCGATTGAAATTTTCGTCTATTCGATTTCGAAGACGGATGAGGGTCTGAGCTACTTTCTTCTTCGAAGGGGGCACTGGCAATCGTCACACCTTTGTTTTCGAAATTCATGTGTTGTTTGACTCGATTATCGACTTTTGTTCCGATGTTGAGATTCATTGTCTCTCGTGCCATCTCGGCATCTTCATGGACTACGAGAGTCGACCCATGCAACTTCTCGACCTCATTCAACAGATTTCGCTTTTGCTGAAAGTCGACGTGTCCTGGATAAGCTGTCACCAAAAGCGTTACATTAACGAACGAACTTTGTTCAATTATCGAATTCATTAGCATTGTGACTTTGTGGTGTCGAAATGGAACAGGCTTCATCTGGTCATTGGTAGAAAGATTCGCCCGTGAAACCGACGATATCTCGCTGTAGTCATCGTCATGATCAACGATACCATGTCCACCGTTTACTTTACGATTGGAAATTTTGGCATTGCGAGTCAAAACTCTAAGGCAGTTCAGCACTGCATTATTCGCCGAAGCGATTTGATTCATATTAGACGCGATGCTTCCATTTCCTCGAGTGTTTTGCATGCTATCTTCTTTTTCGAGACTGGCCATATCCAAAATTGATATTCTATCTCCAAACTTCGAATCATCGACAACTGGTTGCATAGTTATGTAAAGATGACACTTTTTATTTCCCGTCGTTAGCTTTTGGGATGCGTTCAGACCAGTCTGGAGGACCTCTCTCGCGTGGGTTATATCTCTGCAGTTTTGAACCGTGGGCTTGAGATTTTCGGCATCAAGAACTGCTGTATCCTCGCAGAGTTTTTGAGGTTTTCGACCCACTGGACTGGGAATAGCACGTTCAAATCTTGCTGCTATGTTTTTGACATTTAAGTTCTTCTTTTTCATTGGGGATTTACCAAACATCTTGGTCTTCACTGGACTCGATTTATTAGCTAAGAGATCATAAACTTGGCAGGAATTAGAATGCCCACTTCGTCCCCCATTTGGTTGTGTTATTTGCATAATGGACACTTGAACTGTGAATCGATTCGAGTTACCTCCAGCATGGGCTGATTGGGAAAACAAACTATCGAGGAGTCTAGGTACCAAGCCGTCCTCAGAAGATCTTCTTTTGGAAATTGTCATGCCACCGAAACATGTATATGATTTACCCGAATTCTCAACTCCCATGGAGATCAAGAGATGACTCTTTGGTATCTGAGTGCTGACTGTATTCTTGAGAGACTTCATAGCAGTGTGTACGATAGAAAGACCCAGTGTGTTGAACATTTTGTCCTGAGTTGTACTCTCATTTAAGACGTGATTGAAGCGATATTCTTTTGGCGCACATTCGGCCGTAGAATCCGAAAAAGCTCGACATCGCATTGAACTCCCCACTTGTTGCTGCAGAGGAAAGGGATCAAGTGGGTTAAAAACTACGATTCGATCCCCCTCCTGCGCTTCGAGTAAGAGCACGTCATCTCGCTCCTTCTTCAAAAGCGGGCGGATCCTCATGACCGTTTCCATTTCCAGTCCACACGGTGTTGTCAGGCAAGAAACCGACCCTGGCACACGGTTATTGATGCTCGACACCCTCATTTTTCAATAGCTTCAGGGGTCGTCGATCAAAACAAGGACTTCGTGATATTCAACGCAACCAAACCGAAACGTTGGACTTTTTCAAACACGTTAATGAATGCGGCGCATACAGCGGATCTAGCAAGATTCTATGGAAACGTTGGATGAAGACGATTGCTGTCAATGGGATTGGAAGAAGTGCAAAGGCGTCGGAATCACGGTAAAGTACTGTATTGTTGATAGCGATCAATGATGTGTGAGAAGATAGGAATCAGTAAAATGCTGTACCAGACGAAGATGGTCGTTAGAGTACGAATTTTATGTTGTTTCAGTTTTCTTGACGTGACCGTTTGTTTGGCACCGCCCGCCTTGCTCTCTCTGTTATGTTAGGGCTATCTTGGTCGTGTTTAGCAAGCAGTTGATTTTTAGTCGATCAAGTCAAAGAGTTCTAGAAAGCTGGACCACTCTGTTTTTACGTTGTCATAAGTTCTGTAGTACTGTACTTTACTGTAATTTGGAGCTGTGCGCAACACCAATTTCTGAACCAGCATCATGAGAAAAATCGATGATCTATGATCTTTCCAAGGAGTACGTACGTAATACTGGTACCGGTAGGTACGTATGTACAATGAACGTACCGGTACTTCTGTTGCCTGTTGTACTTCTACAAATATTATTATCACTGTATTTGTACTTTGTACCATGGAACAACTCGTAGTACGGTACGTATTGTGTACTGAAGTCGGATCCTATTTCTGTGGCAACCGAACCGTACCGTACTTTTCGTTGGGGGCGAGAAGCCATCCTGGAACAAAGAAGTCGAACAACAACAATTCAACTGCTCACTGGTCATTACGTACGTGCCTGGTAGAAGTGCTTTTAATTAACGGACGTACCGTACGGAATAGGACATACAGTAAGTAGAAGATCGAAGCAATACTTATGCCTCCTGCCGTTTGGTACCGTACCGTACGAGTTCTCGTACAAGTACGTACTGTAGCGTTTGAGACGAAGAAAAAGGAGAGTTCGTGTTCGACATCTTCCTGCGGCAATCCATCGATCTGGATGGGAAGTCATCAACCAAGACTCATCTAGAGAACCCTCTGGCATACATTCATCAATCGCAACAGCAAGCCTGCAGCAGGTATCTTTCCACTCTCTCTCCTCTCGCTCATGCTTTGGCCCAGACGAGTTACTTACAAAATGACGCAAGTGAAACGTGGCACTGTGCGCTCGGCGCCGTCAAGAAAGCAGCAACGGTACTCGCTCATGAAAATAATAGGAGCTCTGGCTCTGATTGGTGGCTTTGCTATACTTCTTTTCCAGAGTGATCCATTCCCTGGGGTAAGAAAAGCTGCCATGCGCCATCGAAGGGATCTTAAAAAATCAGGGGCGGACGTAAACATTGTAACCGGGGAGATTAAAGAAGAGAAAAAGCGACCTGACGCGAACGATAGCCACACTTTCACCTTCGAACTTTCCGCTCTCAATGACGGGAAGAAGGGGGAGATTGTGATTGAACTAAGACCTGAGTGGGCTCCTCTCGGTGTTGAACATTTTATTCAATTGCTGGACGATGACTTTTACAAAGATGCCAAGTTCTTTCGTGTGGTGGACAATTTTATTGTCCAGTTTGGTATTGCTGCCATTCCGTCAAAGAAATATAAAACTCCAATCAAGGATGACCCAGTTGCTCAAACAAATGCTAGGGGGACCATCACTTATGCGACGTCTGGACCGAATACGCGAACAACACAGATGTTTATCAATACCAGGAAAGACGGAAACAAGTTTTTGGACAAGCAGGGATTTGCACCAATCGGAGAGGTTATCAAAGGCATGGATTTGGTCGATCAAATATATGCTGGTTATGCAGAGAAGCCTAACCAAGGAAAGATTCAAGCGAGAGGTAATGAATATCTTGACAAGGAATTCCCATTACTATCCTACATTTCCAAGACACGCCGAGGAACCTCTTAATGGAACACATTTGCATTCATATTCAAAATAATGATGACCTACAAACGTTGAACTAGTTACCAGTTTTTCCATCGGTTGTATTCTCTAGAATTCCGCATTGACATGCTTTGAGTAAATCCATTCAGAACTGAAGACAAAAGGACTTCTTTCAGTGTCAAAATTCTTTCCCCCGTATTCCAAACAGTTGTAATATTTCGAGATCAGATCGGCGAGAGGTTTCTGGCTTTTCCATGGCTCAGCGTTTTGAATATAATCCATGACATCTAAGTGACTATCGAATTCACGATAAGTGTCTTCCTTTTCATCGACCGCACTGTTGCTTGTTGCAGATATTTTCTCTTGTGTCGAAGAGATAGATGTGTTGTAATAACCCGGGGAAAGTTCGGATTCATGGTAAGGCCTTCTCATAGACTGCATACGATTGTACAAGCGGGCGTAGAAGGCACTTTGCGCCCCCGAGGTTAGATTTTTCCGCTGCTTGGAATGGTATGTCCTAGCTTTCACGACTTCCTGCTTTATCTCGTCGTCAACTTTAGCGCATTTCATCACATGCTTTTCGACACTTGACGCCGCTGTCGACAAAGACTCGTAGCTGCCGTAAAAATACCTGCCTCCAGCAACGCCGAGACAATGACGGCAGACAATGTAGGGTTGTCCCGCTCTGTTTTCGTCGTCCGGTGTCGCTATACCTATTACTGTTTGACTCATGACGATGGCCACATAATCTGTCAAGTTGGCACGATCCTTTGGGCGAATAACCTCAAACCCGTCACCAGATTCATGACATTTCGATCCTTTGCTTGGACCAAGATTCACTCCACTATCCTCCTTCATTTGAGACAGTAACTTTGAGGGAAAACTCTGCTCACAATGGTACTCTTCAACTGGCAATTTGATGGATGGGGAGAAAAGATCCTGATGATTTTCTGATAAAAATTTGATGAGATCACGTACAATAATTATAGTTTGTTGGTATTCTTGAATAGGAAGATTGGCCTCTTGCAGAATAGTTGGTGCGATTATAAGGAACTTGAAGAGGTACCGACAGTCTAGTATATCACTCCATTGCTTTCCTTCGTCGAGTTGGAGGCTATCTTCTTTTCCAAACGTTCGAGGAACTAACTTGTCGAACAGAGATATGAGCTCGATAGCAACTTTATCAATTTTTTGTTGCATATTTGCAACTGTCAAAGTATCGGTTTCATCAATACTTGCTATAGTTGAAGACACAAATAAATCTACAACTCTTTTGATTGACAAGGTTTGACCTGTTCCGTCCCCTTGTGAAACTTCGTTATTCTGTTCCAAACATTGAATCAAGAGCCGTTTTGTTAGCTTCGGAACGTAACCAAGACCGAAGCTGTTTGATTCTGTGGCGTAATTCGATCTCTTTTTTAACAACGAATCCTTGCGATGATAATTTATATTTTGGCTTTTCACTGGTACCGGTGGAACGAAAGAAATTTCCGAGGGTGCATCACCAGCAATGAGACTCCAACCTTCCTGTTTGAGGTGAGGCCAAACGAGGCCAAAGAAGAAGGGCTTCGAGGATGGCGTTGGTGACAACTGATTAGTTGTTCCCAATGGTTCCTTTGATTCTGATCCCTGTATGGAATGAACCGATTGCTTATCGATTTCAAAATTTTCTAAGGAAGGATTTTTCACTTTCGTCCCACCTAGTGCTCTCTGTGCGGCGTCAAGTATCTGTGATTCAATCGTAACAAAACTGCTCTTCACATCATCTAGAGCAAGTGTGTACAAAGAAGATTGTACCGCGGTTCGAACTACGGCAAGAATTTGCGTTTTGACATACCAGTGAACGTCGATGCAAGTTCCTTCCAAGGCCACAGTATTTTTCAAGTCTCGGAAACAAGTAACTTGCTTTCCCTGTGAACTCCGTTCTTCGTGCACAGCTACAATTTGAATTTCTTTGACAGAATCGAGTGTGGAAACTGGCTCATTGCATAGCTCCATTGCATTTACGTATGGTCGAATGAATAAGGTCTCCTTGATATCATCAAATGAAGGCAAAATGTTTGAATCTAGTCGGCAGCCTTTTTTGTACACCAAAGCGAATTTTGTCAACTCATTCTCGTAGTTGGTGTGGGAATCAAAGACGGATGATTCTCTCAATTCCAAAATGCAGTCCAAGACCAAAGACTGAAGCTTTTTGGTCAGATTTTCTCCGAGACTGAATTCTCCACATTCTGCGGAGAGTCCAACAAATAGATCTAGAGTGCAATGGAAGAGTTTGTTGGCCATTGGACACCATAGATTCTTTGTGCTTGCGAATCCACTGAACCCTCTGTACACGAACTCGTGGTTTATCTCGTGTATGATTTCTTTTCTGATTGGCTCCGCTACAATGGATTTGAGTTCCAAGTTATCTTCAAGCTTATCAACAAATTCTTTGGTCCAATATAGTTCTGCGGATACGTGTCGGCAAGTCAGATCAGTTTTGGTGCTCTGAAGATTTTCAAAAATCTTTACTGCAACCCAATGAATTCGCCTTCTTGCAAGTACCAATTCTGTGGAAGTTAACGATGAAATGCCAGGTTCATTTTTTTCATTACAAAATGGCGGTGTGATGCTCTTCAGAGCAGACTCCAAATGTTTGAATACATGTACAGCAATATCTTCAGTCACAAATTCCAACAGCTCTATCAGTACCGTAATTGGAAGTTTGGATAATCGCTCTTGGATCCATTTTCTTATCTTTCCAGCATTTGTTTCTGCTAGCCAAGACGAATGAAAAGTCTCCAATGCTAGCAGCTCTAACTTTACGGTTTGGCCCTTTTCAATTGGATCCACTAGGCAAACAATGAGTTTCTTTCTGCCATTCCGTAGTACCTCAAACATATTGAATTTTTGTCGGGAACATTTTGTTTCTATAATATCAATTTCATTGTGAACCATAGACACCATCTGTGTTGGATTTGTGTTTTCAACGCCTTCACAAAATGACTTCTTTTGCAAGACAAAATGTTTGATTGCTTCTTCCAACGTGATCCCGAGTTCTTCATAAAATCCAAAAGTCTTCAGTGTTAGAAGCAACGGTTGAGAACAAAACTTTCTTGACTTTCTATCAAAACTTACCGTTATCTGGTTTATTCTGATGGGACGAGAGATTACTTGAAATGGAATTACTTAGTTCGATTGTACCACACGTTGAAGGATCAAAAGGCTTCCTCCCGTTAATTCTTTCTAATTTGCCGCTTAGATCTATTGTGATCGGAACACAACCTTTCTTTTTGTTCACATTGCGTTCCATTGTCAAATCAGTTGCAGCATCATTACCCAGGTATGTAATATATGTATTGCATTTACCCGATGGGCCGATTCGATCTTCCATCTCAAAATGGAAAACATTACGTGTTTTGGATGAAAGCACCGATAATTTGGCTTGAAATTTTGAAGCAGTCTGAAGGATGGGCTTGGCTTTCTTCTTACTGGAGCCGAGATTTTCGAGGTGATTTTTCATTTTGTGCCCCCCTGACTTTGCCTGACCTGGTTTGCTATTGACAACTACTTGAATGTGCTTTGCATTTCGTGCTCTGTTGAGTTCAACAAGCTCTGATTCACCTAGCGAAGCAGCCTTGGTTCGAACTAAGGTTTTCCATCCACTAATAGAAGCCACTGCTCCAAGACCTTTAAGAGCCGGCATCCCTCTGTCTTCTCTCCATTTCATGAATGCCTTTGCGATATCAGTAGTGCGTGTAGCGAGAAAATCTGCAGCTGTGGAAATATTCATCGAAGCTAGTAAGAATTCTTTGTTTGATGATGACAACGCATCAAAAGGATTCATTGAGGCACTTTTTCTCATTCGAGGAGGTTGTTTAGAAACGCTCCTTGACTTTCGATCTGAATCTTTCGTTGAGGCACTTTTTCTGAAGCGAGGGGATTCTTTCGAAACACTTCTTGACGTTCGATTATCATTCAAATTAGGGCCGATTTCTCCAACTTTGTAGACATTATCGTGTCCGGTATTTTCGATGCCGTCAATTCTCTTTTTCATCTGCGAAGACCAGTCATGAAGTTGGGTTATGCATGATTCGACTATGACTTTTTCTCCGTTCTTTTGTGGAGAATTCATCTGAACCAGAGCTTTCAAAAGGCGTGAATTTTTCCCTTTACTAGTTTCAATAAAGTTTCGCGCACAGGTAATCCCTACAGATTTGAACATATCCAATTTTTGCTCGTCAGCGAAAAAGTTGGAGAAAAATTCTGGAGAATCCAAAGCACTGCAAGCTTTGGAAGAACTCGTTTCACTTTGTTGTTTCGATTGACCCCTGTTGTCGTCCAATCCAATCATTTTTATTTCTGAATCAGTCGCCTCTATCATTCTCTCTTCCGAGATGAATCTCCCTTCGGAACTTTGAATCAGAAGCTGCTCTTTCATTTGAGTTTTCCACGCCGATACCATTGCTACCGCACTCGAGCTTTTTAATTCTGAAAGCCCTTTCGTAGCTCTCCATTTCGAAAACTCATCTGCAATTTTTGTGGTCTTCTGTTCTATAAACTGTGCAGCTGAAAACATCTTAGAATGATCAATTAGGAATTCTTTCGCGACGCCAGATAAAACTCCCATAGCTCCTGTAATCCGTTTCGAAGTTTCGTTACCACCAAGTAGCTTTCCCTTCAGACTTTCTTCAATGCATGTGCCAATCCTACTCAGATGCTTTGAAAGAGAATGTAAGTTCATATCTCTCAGACCACATTGTCTTCTCCAGGCCCGAAACATTACCACGACAGGTCCACTCTCAGTCCTTCTGAGACACAAAAAATCGAAAGCGGATTTGACACGAATAGACTTCAGGAACTGGAGGGTGCCGATTGGAAATAACAAAGACAACGGTCCATCTAGAAGCGGAAATTGATCGTTATCGGATGTGTTGAAGTCCCCTTGTCTCCACGTTTCAATTGAGTTTCTCCATACGTTGAGTTTTTTACCTGCAAGAAACGCTCGACTTGAGCTATGTTCAGCAACACTATGCCATGATTCCGATGAGAATACTCTTCCCGAGGCTTTCTCGTCCTGTCCATTTGGAGTTTCGATTTCTAATTTCTTCGATTCATGAATCATTGTGGGGTTTTCTTTCAAATTTAACATTAGCTTTTCGCGGACCCTTTGCCTTGAAGAAGCATCTTTCACAGTTTGATCCTCGTTAAGAACCCATTCGAGTTGCTCCAGCGTAAAAATAAAACATACGGTACTCAAGAAATTACAGTCTTGCCTTGGTAAAATTCTGAGCAAGTCAATCTTTCCATTTAAGATTTCACGAGCTGCCATTTTCTCTTTTCCGGTTGATCTTTTCTTTGTTTTCCTCGTCACCACCCTCTTCTCAATCTTCGAGAATAGGTTCGTTTCATCGATTGTCGAGTTCATTTTATTGACCGTTTTTGCAATTGAGTCAGAAATCGCTCCATTTACGTCTGGACGAATACTTGATCTTCTTTTTGGTATCTTTTTATACACATCAAAATCAAAAGTTTGATCTTCTTCCGCGTCTTCAAAAATACCTGCACTTGTGACAGTTTTCAATACTGAATTATGACTCGTAGTAGAGCCCCGATCGATAGGAACAGGGCCATAGTTACATTTACTTCCCAGAGTCAAAGAATCCTCGAAGGAAAGTCGAATCCGCTTGGATTGTTGAAAACATAGGCTCCGTTCTTCGCTCCGCAAGACACTTGGAATATGAGGATCTCGTTCTCTCTTATTCGCCAACGTTGGACTTTTACAGGATTTCGAAACTGTTGTTGACAGGATCAGTTCGCTCAATTTCGTACTATCTGCTCCACTCTTTGTTTCAGAGTCCGTAGAAAAGTTTGTAGATGTCTCCATCGATGAAGTTTTCATTTCTTGGAAATCATTTGTTGCCCCATCGGTGTGTAGAGTGATAGTATGCTCTTTGCTTTCAAGTTCTTCGTGGACTGTCGACTGCATTTTACGAATCATTCTTCTGGTCTCCAATTCCGATTTGGTTGTTACGTCAGCTGAGATATATAGTCCTTGATTTTCATGGTTGGTCATCTTGTGATCGTGACATGACCCATCGTTGAACTGGGTAGTAGCTGCGGTGAATTCTCCGTTTCGAATATGGCTTTCAGGCGTTGGCTTCATGTCATTCGAGGTGTCTGCATTCTCCAAAACTTTTTTGGAAGTCACCTCAGTGAGGTTTTCTATTTGGGGACTTTCAAAAGCCATCTGATGGTCAGCATGTGCCCCATTCTTCTGTTGCCTGGTAGCACAGTCCATCACTGATAGATTCAATCCGCGTTGTACCAACTCCTTTCTTGACGATGACAAGCCATTATTGACATCTTGGTTTGATTCTTTCGAAATCATTTCTGGCATTAGTCTGAAATTCGAACAACAACAAGAATATGTAGATTACGTTGTGTGAGTCAATTAATCTTCAAAATTGAACTGTACGCATACTATTATATGCTGAGAACCAACAAACTACGTTCGATCCTTTGCATAGCTTTCGAACATCAAATTCAGAACAGATTATCGCTGGCGTAAAAGCTAGTAATAATTGGTACCTATCTTTCAACGATCATACGGTACAAGAACGCCGATCGACACCCTAATCCCATAAGGCCAGCCGAGGCGTCAAATTGAGAGGTGCTTCGAAAAATATTATTGAACGTAGCGTTGCAGTTCCATTGCTATGATATTGATTATGTCTCCTCAAAGCATACTTCGTAGTATAATCAACAATCGCTAGTATGCTGATACAGTACTGAACTCGTACTTACGGTGTCAGTTCGAAAATAAAAGTATGAGAAATTCGCAGCAATAAAACTTGGTCATATATTTGGATACCAGACTTCGCAATATCCTTAGTAGTCGTCGACGTCGGATTAAACTTATCGCGGTGAAGTGTTTTGATCGGATAATGGATAATTGAATTTGCAGGTTGATTCGTTGTCGTTGCAGTTGTATGATTGAACAAGAGATGAAACGATTGTACCTGTAGGGAGGTACCTGGTACTGTACTGTAGTTTCGGAGTTCACCTACAGTAAGCTGTCAGAAGTAATACTTCTCATCATAATTCTGGACCTACACATCTAGTGCCTTGAAGAAACCATTATTTTAATTTTATTTTACTGTACGTATTTTTCGTAGCGCATCGGACAGTACCGAGTACGATAGCGTTACATAGTTTGTACGTACGTACAATAAAGAACATTGTACGTACCCGTAGCGTACGTAGGAAACGAAGAACGAAAGGGGAGGTCCGGTTCATCAACTGCAAGTACTGTACGTACTTCGTACTTCTATGTACCTTACATACGGTACAGAATTTTGAATTTTGACCGTACAGGTACGAGGTTGTGGTGTGAAATATCGCGTGACAGCTTTTTTCGGTACTATTTCTACACAGGCCTACGTGAAGAACAGTGCGATATATTACACCCTGGAGCTCAAGCTGTCACTTAGTTCCACCTGGAACCAAAAAGGAACTATTTACAAGGCTGCTGATAGGGAGAAGGACGATAGATACAGGGAAGGACGATACGGAGGAGCTGCTGTTGATGATACGAGGCTGCTGATACATACAGAGGATGCTGATACGAGGCTGCTGATACGGAGGCTGGCTGATATGGAGGCTCGCTGATACGGAGGATGCTGATACGAGGCTGCTGATACGGAGGCTGGCTGATATGGAGGCTCGCTGATACGGAGGATGCTGATACGAGGCTGCTGCTGATATGAGGCTGCTGATACAGACGAGGAGCTGCTGATACTACGGAGGCTTGCTGATACGGACAAGGATGCTGATGCGGTGGAGGTGCTGATACGGAGGATGCTGATACGACAAGTATTCTGATACGAGTATTTTCACGACAATTTTTTGCTGTTGCTTAGATCTAGTGATTCTTCTAAACCACTCGGTCAATCAATCCGAGACTTCTTCCGGATCCCCCTGTCCTTGTTATAATGAAGAGGTCGTGTATATCAATCGCGCTGTTAGTGGTGGTTAAAGTGTTGAACTGGAGGAGTGACAGGTCCCTATGCTGGAGGTTGTGTTAACAATGAGTTTTTCGGAAAATTCCGTGCGCAGAGAAATCAAGTAGCCGGAAAAGGTTCTCTGGCAAGAAACACATACAATACGCACATGTATGGAAAGACAAAAGAAAACCCTTTCCAGCTAATGGATTCTCAAATTCTGATTGGTGCTTTGGTAGCATTAACAAGCAAGCAAAGCTTTAGCTGATTATTCAAAATGACTCGCAAAATTATGACTCATAACCTGTTATAAATAGGACTAACCTGTTATAAATCGGACGCAATATTTCACACCCCAGCCTCGTACGGCTTGCATGGGACATACGGTACCAGTTATTTTGAAGTAAAATGCGTCAACAGTAAAATCCTACCAGGGCCTACAGACCTCAATGTCATTCTACTCTAACAGAAAAAATTATTACTAGTAAAATCACAGTAATTTTGAAGCCAAATATTTTAGTACTGGTCCTACACAGATCTACTAGTTTTCGGTCACTTTTTCCACTACAAACAGCTCAATGAGGTAAAATAAGCTAAACACAACAGCTCCGGAAAGGCTTGTAATGAGATCCCCTTTGGGGAAAGCTTCTTAATAGTATTGGGAAGAGCCCCATGTGTCATTGTTACAAAATTATAGGCCTTGGGGGAGTCGGTTCTCCATTAACAGCTGGTATACAAGACCGCCTCCTAGTTAGAAAATAGTCCAGAACTCTATCAAGAAACAACTTTAGACCACCAGACTAAGCGCCCAGACCAAGATGATACAATTACTTAGCAATCCATGTCATTGGGATGCTTAAGGATGCTATGGCGGCTTCTTAGAACTGGTATGTCAAAGTTACAGTAGTAGTGGTCCAAAATTCCTGCATTAATTTCAGCTGTAATTTTATATCGAAAAAAATGGTACTATTTGTTGTCTTAGCCGTACCAGGTAGGATGCAGTAGAGCTACTAGTAAGTACAATTCCAGTGCTGGCATGTGAAAGGCAATTCTGAACCTCCAGGGCTGGCTGGCTTGCCTGCCATCTGCATGTACCCCCTGTACATTATAGTACCGTAGTACAAATCCTACATGCTATGAATATGTGTTATTTTACAGCAAATTCAGTACTGGAATACCTCCATCCAATGCTGCTGCACCTCTCGCAACCACCAAAATATGCTAAAATGAACAAGCAAACACATCAAAATGCTTCATCTGCAAGCATTTATTCATACTCAAGCAATTCGTGTTTGTGTTTAGGGATACTCAAGGAGCTGACATGTGGACACTTCATACTCAAGCGATTTGCATTTTTGGATAGTCAAGGAGCTAGTGTGTAGACGCTTTGGATACTCAAGGGACCAGCATGCAGAAGATTTGATACTCAAGCAATTTCCATTTGCATTTGTGGATACTCAAGGGACCGGTGTGTGGATACGTTTGCGTTTGCAGATACTCAAGGGACTACTAGTGTGCGGACACATTCGCGTTTGCAGATACTCAAGGGACATTTTTGTTAGTGGGTACTCAAGCAATTTGCATTTGCATTTGCAGATACTCAAGGGATCAGCATGCGGAACATCCATACTCAAGGGGACTGGCATACAAACCATTCAACACAGACCAATCTGTCTGAAGGGTGTAGTGCCAAGGTAATATGTCTACTGGCCGGCCAGCTACAATGGTAGGAGGAGAGCATATTCATCATGGATGTGATGATTGTCATCACAGAAGTGGGGCATGTCATCATAAGGGCAGTGTTTGTGGATACTTAAAGGACTCCCATTTCTTCAAGTCAATCACCAGTCTTATCAATGAGGAAATTAATCTTTGATTCACTGGATGATTTTGTACTAGTACAAGTTTAACATCAGTTTTTCCAAAAAAGCTACAATCAACCAATTTATGAGACACTGATACAGAGTATGCTGATACGGAGAGCACACTGATTCCCTGATAAAAGTCGTTGATATGGAGCAGCCACTGATATGAGTTACTAATATGGAGGTATGCTGATACAACATGGAGGAGCTATTGGTGATATGAGTTGCTGATGCAGAGGAGTACTCTGATACTGAGTACGCTGATATGATACGGAGGAGCCACTGATATGGAGGAGTATGTTGGTGATATGAGTTGCTGATATGGAGGAGTACACTGATACAGATTATGCTGATACTACAGCTGCTGATACAGAGGAGTACACTGTTACAGATTATGCTGATACGGAGTATGCTGATATGGAGGACACTGCTGATACAGAGTATGCTCCTGATACTACAGACTATGGAGGAGGATGCTGGTATGGAGTATGATGAGAAGGAGTATGCTGATAGTAAAGAGGACACTGATATGGAGTATGCTGATATGGAAGACACTGATATGGAAGACACTGATACGGAGGAGCCCAGTTTTAAAAGAATCAGGTTTGAAATCTGAAAAATCAGGCACAGAAGCAATGGGTAAAATGGATTCAGTTCTTGCTGAATAAATCCTGGCACGGCCCTCAGCCATTCTCTGTGCCAGAATTTTTCAGAAGTTGAATGACAATTTTTAACTGTTTATATTGCATTGACAGTTGATATAATGGGTTTTACCTGAAAAAATGAGCTAAAAATTTCTACTAGCATTTGTACGGGGATTGCCTTTAACTTGCCAGCACTGGAATTGTACTTACTACTAATAGCTATTATGCAGGGGTCCCCTGTCCCCTGGTAGTACTACGTACCGATGAGTTGCACACACTTAACTCGTATGTACAGAAAGTCGAAACGTTCGACCATCACCCGACCCATCACCCATCTCGTCTATCAGTCATTACGTACGTAAGTACTCGTACTCGTAAACCGAATACCGCAGAGTACATTTATTAGTTGGGTTTTGCGGCCGGTGCTTTCTTGTATCCGCTGGGCATCAATCATTTTTGATGCATCCAGAAGGCCATCAACTACCTTTAGGTACAAGCCGCCATGGAAGCTATTTCACCCGGCCATCATTTTCGGAAAGATAATGGTAAAGCAATCGTGTTAAGAATCGCATTCTGCATGCTTTATATAGCATCTTCTGCAGGATTATTACTTCCATCAACTTTGACAAATCGAGTGGCAAACAGTAGCAACAAGTCGTCTGTGCCTCGGTCAATATTGTGGTCAAAAAAAGATACCAAAGAAGCAACAGATAAAGAAGAAATCAACTTGGATGAAGATAATTCGTCAAACAATAAACCCTGTTTTTGGAAACCGAAAGGGCCGAGAAGTTGGTGGGTAGAGAGAGTTAAACTCGAAAACCTAGAAATTGGACAGGAACTCTCAGGGCACGTCGTTCAATACAATTTGGAAGCGAAGACTGGTCCAAAACTCTACTTTGAATGCGGGATTGGAAGAACGGATAAAAATGGAGATTGGTCAATTGTGAATGGCATGCTAAGGCTTGATAAAGGTAAGCCTTCGGTAGCAAGGAAGCGTGCGGCACGTTTTCGCCAAAAAGACCAAGTTCAATTATTTGTTTCCCGGGTTCAAAAGGGATGCGGTCGGCTAGAAGTTTGTGCCAAGATTGAACAGGTTCAGAAATACGATGAGGAACCGAAAATATCCGTGACGACGTTGAAGAAAAGTCAAGAAGTTGTTGGGAAGGTTGTAAAATTATATCCTTATGGTGCAATCATTGATATTGGTGCGAATGTTCGAGGTCTCCTTCATATTACAAAAGTTGCTCGCTTGTTGGATCAATACGTAAGTAAAGAAGAAGGTTTAAAAAAAGCAGGATTCGAAAAGGGTGCCAAAGTTAGACTTATAGTAGAGTCAGTTGAGAAAAGAAGGCTTTCTCTGGATTTCACTGATGACGTCAAAGAGGATGCGCGCAAAGAAAAAGAGCAAAAGCAACAATTGATTGATGAATCAAATGATTCACAGAAAAGGGATGAACTTGATGCTTGGAAAGAATATGGAAACCAAAAATATCAGGACGACAATAATTTAAATGATGGTACAGATGATGCAATCAATGATGGGAACGAGTACAACAAGGGGTATAATGACGAGTATGACGAAGAGTATGAAGACGACTACGATGACAGATATGACGAAGAAATGGACATAGAGTCATCATTAGGACTAGATATGTACTAGCTCTTCAAATAATCAATACTAAGTCAATTGCGTTCCCCTTACTTTTTCAAAAACCATTACCACGTTCATTTCTGCGAAAAATCCACTTCCTTCCAATAATGTTTGGCCGGCATTTTGAAATCGTTATCCTCCTCCCATTTTCCACCATCCAAAAATAATTTCGGACTATCAACAGTCATCCATATATCTTCTTTTTTTCCCATCCCATTGAGTCTAATCCGGACATCATTGTTTAATCGTTCAAAAATGTATCCAGCAAAGCATTCTTCACTTTCCTCTTGATCCTCACTCTCATTCGTTGAAGAAGTATCCCTGCCGTCATTTCTGTCAATCACTGCTGGTATAATACATAACACTCTATCTGAGGGTTTTAATGTTTTCCGATTTATTTGCTTGGCCAAGTGCCAGACTTCTTTTTCTTCGATCCCATTCAATTTTCGGGATTTTTTCGATTTCGATTTTTTTGGTGCTGTTGTCTGCATCACTTCGACCCAGAAGTCCTTAGCTTTCGAATTTTTTCCAATTGTTTTGCTATCATCGGTATTATTTTTTAGTTTCTTAGGATTGCTTCCATATGATGCATTGGATATTTCTTCTTCCGCTCGTTTCTTCTTGACCCTCGCCACCCAATCTTTCCATGTTACTCTCTTTGTTTGTAAGACCTCTCTTTCATAGCGCAGTAACAAATTTTCAAATTTTTTAACATCCATTCGTACTGAATCCGGCCGACAATTACAAACTTTCGCAGTAAGTCCATATGGGATCCATTCGGGTGTTGCGAAGTTGGTTGCCTCTGCAACATTGAAACCTGTGTTGAAGCCCGAATGATAACTTCCAGGAAATGTTATTATAGCATCACCTGGGTATTGCACAGTCATCGTATAAGGGATTCCTGCCTTTTTCAATACAGCTGGTGATACAAGTGATCGTTTGTGGCGCAAATATTCGGAGCATTGTTTCTTAGCATGGACATAGTTGGATTCCATGAAATGTTCGAAACGTCGGGAGTCTTCTCCTTCTGCAACAGCATACCATACTTTTGGGGCTCCCGCATGCAAATAGTTGATCGAGAAAAGATTCATATCCTCTGTGTGGGCACAGAAAACCGATGCCCACATTCCAAAATACAAATAAGGTGTGGTTACACCAGGGATTCCACCATATTTATCATCTTGCTGATCTATCAGAAGCAACTGCAGGCAAGACTGTAGCTTTGATAAGTTCCAATCGCAATCATCATCCTTTCCAAACAATGTTCCATCCATATCAGCTCCATACATCGAAGATTGCATTGTTGGACCAAGTCTTTTCCAAAATTTTCTTTCTAGCATCTCAATTGAATGGTCTTTCTTCGCCCCGACTTGGCTTTCCATATACTTGTCCGCTTTTTCCCTGAATTCGGAAACTGTGATAGGATTATTATCCAAAAACGTAAATTCGTACACACCTCCGATTCCATGCACAATCTGCGTCATCGGAGATGGAAGCATCATATCCCCCAATGGCGTCCCAGATTGCCAATCTTTCCCCCTTCCCGTTTTATCTTTAGCTATTCCATCGTGAATGGAAAATTCCTCTGGTAAGGTTATCCTTGCCAGCCCTGATACAATTTACCACATTAAAGATGCAGTTTATGTGAGAATGCCAGTATGATATCAAAGAGATCTATCACAAATAAAAAATCTTACCATAATCATAACTGATCTTTGGGGTGTTGGCGCGATAGCGTTTGCTACTCTCGTTGGTGGAGTTACCCCTCGTTCCGTGTCTCCCATTCACTGCCGGAGGCTCTTCTTCATTATCACTGAACCCGACTTCGCATTGACTCAATATTGTATGGCGAACATAATCAGAGAAAGTGGTTGATCGAAGTTCATCAAGTGTCGGCTCGAAATGCTTGCACTGAATTGGATAATTAGATTTGGTCTTGCAAAAACGCCGTGCTTCCTCTTGAACCTTTCTATCTCTATAGTGTGCTGGCATGGCTAGTATGAGGGCGAAGTAATCGTAGAGCTCTATTAGAATATAGCTAGTCAGCGATATCAAAGGAAGTTTTCGGGAAAATATCTTCCACTATTCACTATTCCAATGTCGTACTGGTACGATTGAAAAGCGATCAGATACGAGTACTCTTCGCCCCAGTTTGTTTCGGTTCAGATGTTTAGTTGTTGTGTGGCATGACACTCGTACGATTGGCAAGCAAAAAGTGTTGTTCTTTACGCTGTTTTTTTAGGCTTTTTATCCCACGAATAACCATGCTCCAAAATTATTTATTTCACGAACTGAAAGGAAAAACCAATTTCTTTGTCTGTCCTCGTCCGTCATATAGCAACAGTGCAAGGTAGAAATTGTTATTGGGCCTAATTTTGTTTTCAAAGTGCCGGTACGTTCGGTACTACGATTCAGAGTACGACCCCGCCCTGGCTTGAGTAATACGTATTAGTACGAGTAAGTACGTACGTAACGGAGGTCATACGGTAATAAGTACTACAAGTACTTCGTAATAATGGTACTTGTAATCAAAGGAGTCAAACAGCGTATTTTTGCCTGTCGAAACCCGCAAACGCCGGAATTCCGGTATCGTTAGGAGTTCTGTTGAGCGGAGACCAATGGTACAGTCGGGCATTCTGTCACTCCTACGATTGAAGTAATGGGACACCTCCTTTTGATAGTGCCCTTTCGATTTGACTACTCAGAATTGTCCAGGGAGCTCTCCTTCCTATGGTTTTGGACGTCGCCACCAGTAGTAACTTCAATTGCACCATTTCTTGCCCCTCTCCCTTCCACTCTCTTGCACATAGCTTCTCAACCAGAAGGCGCCAGATTGTGGTTCTTTGCTCTGTACACCTTCTTTTGATAGTGCCCTATTGATTCGTTCACTCAGAATTGACCAAGGATCTCCCCTTGCAGTTGTTTTTCAAGCCACCACGGTGGTGTGTTGTTGTTCCTCCTTAATTCCTTTCTCCATAGGTCCTGCTTTGAAGATTTATTTGGAACCAAATACTACAGTTCCTTAAACAAAGCCTACATGTGACTGTACTAATTGAATGCTTCTCTTTCCACTTGTCCAATTCCCAAAAAGATCTGATGGTTGGTTATAAAGATACAGCTATCACCATTACAAATTTTGGTCATTTGCCATATGTAAGAATACAGTAGTAGTAGCTCAAAGAGATTAGATGCAACACAAATGACACTCAATGGCCATATGAAGCAGAGGGAGAGCTTTGTAGTGGCACCCTTCTTGTGTTCATAGGTGCTCTGGATCTGAAGTTATCAGTCTCACCATGGCAAAGATGGTGTTTTAGCGATAGCATGACTAAATCAGTTTGAGTAGAATTACTTTTTTCCAAGTAGTGCACAGTAGGCTTTTTACAGATAACGCATTTCATATTGAAGTAACTGGTACATCACAACAAACAATTTGTATTTTGAGGAGCTTTCCTTCTTTGGGATGACGTGACTTAGCTCATGTTTTGTGTGTTTGATCCAGACTCCAATCACACAAACACACTCAAGTTACATCATACAGCAAATAGAAGCAGTTCATCTGGTGAACGCATGAGTCCCATGGCAAAAACCACTTTGTAGCACCAGCTCTTTCAGCAAAGATTGTTCATGCTAATTGTTGTGAGAAATGCATTACGGCATAAATGCCTAGTCGTTACTTGCAAGGTCGTGAAACTGGAGGGTTAACACTGAATCTTAGCTGCTAGAAAATTTTCTCGAACAGAAAATGAAGTGAAATGTTATTGCTCATAGGTTTGCGTCTGTCAGATTCAGAGTTTCAATACATTACAATACTATGAAATGTAAACATTGGCAGCACAGAAGTGTCGCAAATATTACCTCTGACAGATCTCTGTCTAGCAGATGAGAGCTTCTTGGGGGAAACATTTTTACTTTACCACATATTACAACTAATACGAACGATTGATTATGAAATGCAAGTTGCAGTTTCACGGATATGGCATTGACTGAATTCGTTTCAACATAATTATCACGACTTGAATGAGTTTGGCCTCACGTGAATCGAAACTTCTCCTTTGTTGATGTTTTGCTGACACAGCTTCTTCACTATATTCGGGCTTGAATCACAATTCTGAAACTAGACGTCGCAAATCCTCCTCGCATTGTTCTTTAATTCCTTCTCCGTATTGCTGGTGCCTCTTTGCTTCCTTTTTCCAATATTGAACCTGGGATTCTAATTCCTGCCAATAAAAAAGCTGCTCTTGTAAGCGCTTGTTAGTACCGCTGTTGTCGATGTCGCCATTGTTGTCTTCGCTATCCGAAATACCCATCACGTGATGCACCTGTCTGAGGCGCTCTTTGCACGATGACAATTCAAGTTGGAATAGAGAGCGTTCATTCAATAACATACCACTCCAGGTCACGACGGAGAAAACAGTGATATTTGCAAAACAGAGAAATCCGATCCAAAACAGGATTTTAAGCAAATTTCCAGTTTTGTCAGGTTTGGGATCGACGAATGTAAGATCATTTTCGCATTTGTCTAGATTTTCGTCGGTTGATTTTTGAGGAGTCGGGATGGAGCCGAGAGTTTCAATCGGTTTTTCCGTCTTGGTAGTTATTGTAGCTGGAGCTGGTGCTGGTGCTGGTGCTATTGCCGTTGATACTGATACTGGTTTTATAAGTGAATTTTCGATTGGTGGTGCAAGGTGCAGCACTAAATTCTCCTCCTCGGCGTCAGAGTCTCTGGGAGAACATTCGATCGGTGTATGAAAGTCCCTACCGACGGCAATTGCTGCGTTATTTCTTCCACCTTTAGGAGTCGATGGCTTCCTTTCAACATTTGATACCCTGGGTGCCGAGGAGGTGGACGTGTTTTGCTTCTTACGCAACGGAGACGCTCCGGATGAGTCGCTGTCGTCACCAACAGTTTGTTCATCATTTTTCCTAGATTTGCCCTTGGTGGCAGCGAAGGCAGGTGATTTTCTTTTCCCGGCCATAGTGAGTAAAGAATTGTACACTCTGGGTCCCTTCTCCTGCCAGTTTTGGTTTATGATGGCAAGGGTTTGTTGGAAATGGTGGCGATCTCCTGTCGTCCGAAAGTACGAGTACTGTGTGGTGAAAAGATCTGACCGAGTGCCGAGCGTACCGTACGGTATGAGAACGGTCATTTTGATCGTTTCGCACGATAGCGCTCCTATCCTTGTTATCTGGTACTTCGCGGTAGTGCTACGTACTTGTTTGGGTTCGAATTAAGACTATCCCTTTATAACAGGTTATGAGTACACAAAACGCGCCAGTTTTTTGCTAACTTTGCTTGCTTGTTAACTCCAGCAAAAGCACCAATCAGAATTAGAGAATCCATCAGTGGGAAAGAGTTTTCCCTCCTCTTTCGTTACATGTGCATATTGTATATGTTTCCTGTCAGAGAACGTTTTCGGGCTTGTTGATTTCTCTCCTCACCGAAAATAAAAAATTTTCTCATAAAATCAACCTCAACAAGGCAAGCTGTCACTCCTCCAGAACTTTATGAATACCCAACCAATCGCGCTCACAAGACAAGTGTTACAATCCTTACACTAAGCGGAAGAGGACTGTGAAGTAGCGGATCGATCGACCGAGTGGTTTAGAAGCATCAGGAGTCCTACGTACAGACGTGAAAACAGCAACAAACAGCAACGACGAACTCCCCAGTGTAACTAAAACGAATCGACCTTCCCCCCCTTAACAAAGACAACCAGTGTGTCGGACGTCCTTAATACATCAAAKGAGACTTGATCCCGAAGTATCGTTGCAATCGGCCCAGTATTTTGAAAGAAAAAGCAGTTTTTGCTGTATTTTGAGTGTATTTCGGCCCCTGAAATGAGCAATAGCACCAATAAGAAGATGAAAACAAGCATGCCAGGGCCCCCCAGAGCTAGCGCTGTACTCCCAGTATCACTATCGATCCGGTCTATCACCAAGGGATGCGTGGAAACGCATGCTGAATCAGGAGTGGGGTTGGCGATTTGCAACAAAGAACCACAGGAGGGGGGCGGAGGAAAAGCAGGAAATTCAATAGCAACAATGAAGACGC